AACAAACAATCAATATAGGCAACTGATTTTCTTGGAATATTAGAAAAAATTAAAGATAGTAATGGATTATTAGATAAAATTAATAAAGGTTTAAATGCTTATTTAGAAAAGAAACGTTTATATTTTGCAAGATTTTTCTTTTTATCTAATGATGAAATGTTAGAAATATTATCAGAAACAAAAGATCCATTACGTGTACAACCACATTTGAAAAAATGTTTTGAAGGTATAGCCAAATTAGAATTTGATAAACAATTGGATATTAAAGCAATGTATTCAAGTGAAGGTGAAAAAGTTCAATTTAGTCAGGTAATTATTTTTGATAAATGAATTATTTAATAAATAAATTTTAATGATGAAACTATAATTTATAGATAAACCAATCAGATTTAAGATAACAAGGCTGAACACCGATTACCATGACGCGCAATCCTAACCGGTGTTGGAGATGGTTGGAAGAAAATTAAGGGCGGCCAAACCAAACGTGGCATCAGTACTTGAAGACACTAACCTCTAGTCTGAGCCATGTTGGTAGATGCAGACTACCTGGTTGAAGTCCGCGTGACTATCGTAATCAATGGTTAGAGACTCTTGGTGACATGGCCAGAATCGATTACAATGACGTCGGTGTATACACTCTCTTTCTTCCCTTAAACTAAGAGATTAAAGTCGCTTCATATCTTTCTTTCTATGAACTAATTCCTCCTTCCTATACTATTTCCTTATTGCAATCTTTCTTTTATATATTACCACCACTGAATTAACTACTTTTATGAATCCGGTGTCCATCTTGTTGTGTTAATGAGGTATGGCAACTTGGACCGACGCATATATGTGCCTGGTCCTACGTTGTAGCTGACTGACAGACTGAACAGGTCTTGCGTTTTCGCGCGACATTCACTCATCCATTTGGTAAAATAGAGTCTTGGCATTATAGCTGATGTCAGTTGTTGATGAAAACCCTAATCTTAATTATCAACTGTAAATCATAAATCTAATTCTTCACACTGGTTTATAACCCTCATTTAGTCCTAGTTATTAGGTGAACACTCTCATGGTCACTTCAGTATCGCTGAAAGATCGTCCATAAATTATAGTCTCACCAATTCAATGAATTAATGAGTACAAGAATTTTATCATTGAAAATTAATTAATCATTATAAAATCATTTTAAATCACAAATTAAGTTTAGATAGATACCTCAATAACAAAGAAGAGTTAGTATTTGTTTTATTGTGAATGACTTTGTGATTATAAGTTGTAGTAAGGCTTTAAAGTTTTCTATTTGATCTATGGTCTGTGGAGAAATGTTGGGTTTTTGAATTAAGCCATACTACCCCCTAACTAGTTTATTTCTGTTTCTATGATTATCCTGATTACATTTCATCTCAATTTCAATATTTTATTTTATCATGCTGAATCATCGTTTCCCAGTGATAATCTCCAAAATCTATCATTGATGAATACTTAAGGCATAATTATTAAACTTTCCTTGTTTTCGAAAAAATTTTTCATACCTTTGTTTATTTAACCTCACTGTCATCATGCCTAACAGAAGTTTATTATTAGTATTATTATCATCCTGTAAAATAAGTATATATATTTGCAATTGTACAGCTATGAAAATGAATTCGCCGAAAAGAGAACTCTTCGCTGAATTAATCTTTCTTATTTAATGTCTTGATGGATGTACTCCGTTTAATAAAATAATTGTATTCTACTCCACAATATTTAATAAATCTCTAGTTAAAATCTATGCTTGACCACTGACTATCCCAATCAGCAGTGTTTTATTGTGTAGGAGTAGATTGGAAGAAAGCTAGAGGTGGTCAGACCATAACATGTCACAAATCATGAAGTTACTGACAAGTAGACTGAGCCATGTTGGTAGGTGTAGACCACTTGGTTGAGATCCGCGAGACGATAGTAATCGATCGTTAGAGACCTTGAATCCAATATTTGTGCTCTCCCAAATTCTAATCTTCTGAATTATTCATGTCCCTTTTTCTCTCTTGCCAAATTTATTTCACTGGTTTATACTGCTTAAATAACATCTTCAAACCTTAATGTTTCCGATTACTGCTTATACTTTTATTACCTTTGCCACCATTGGATTTGAATCGATAATTGTATCTCTGTGCTAATGTTGTATGACAACTTGAACTGATGTACGTACGTACGAAGTTCTACGTTATTGCTGAATGACTGACTAAAATTAGTCAGTTATGATGATTGGTTTTAAAATCGCCACATACACCTTGAAATAACAATGTATTAGTTCACAACTTTCTTGTTGTGCTAATTGAACTTAAATTACTGTCATCAAAACTATGGCAATCAGATAATTCTCAGTTTTTAAACAAATTAGGTTAATAGATTTGAAAGGTTTTGAAACACTGGATATGATTCGTGATAATATTCTATGGTGTGGACATATATCCACTTTTGTTTATCGAATAGTGTGGGATTTTGGTAAACCAAATTATGTTACGATCAAAGATGGATGGCGGTTAGCAATGAAGTCCAGGACGTATGTATCGTCCTACTTGATGCTCGTCAGTCGGATGTACCTGCATCTAACAGTTGATTTTCACTCCGAGACACAAACTCAGTACTGTCCGATTCAAATACCATAGCTTGTGACTTAAGGCGATAGCGGGCAATCCGCACAGGACGTACATATGCCATTAAGAGACTGATCAATTGCAGTACTAAATATTAATGAAAAGATTCACCAAACAATACAAAGTGAATTCAAATTATGCTACGTTTAAATAGTGAGTAGTTCGAAAGTCAGAAGCAAATAATTTACGCTCAGTAAGTTATAACATTGGTCAAACTAAGTTCGTATAGAACATTGACTTACATATTTTTTTCCTGTTCGTATAAAGTTACCGAATCAATTATTGTTTGAATTCGTATCGTACTTACACGTTATCTATCCTATCAATCTAATAAGTAATATTAGTTCACTTTATGCTATATTTATCAGCAGTCAGATTAACACAGATAAATGGGAATTAAATTCTAATTTTGTACCCTTTACTTATATGGTAGTTTTCAATACCAGTATACTTTCTTGCATGAATACTTTTCTTAGCCAATAAGTACGTCAGAAGCACGTGGTTCAGTAGAAAAATGGCTATTACAAGTAGAAAAGATAATGCTCATGTCTGTTCGTGATGTGATAGCAGCTGCTAGAGAAGTAAGTTTCCATATTTTGTAGCAAAAGTTTTAAATAAGAATATAGAGGTAAGAAATAGAAACGGAAAGGTTTTCATTGTACCATCATTTGAGAATAAACATGAAATGAGGTAAGCTATCTGAGATTCCGAATCAGATAGACTATCACTTTTTATCCTCCAATTAGAAAGTCTACTTTTTGTACGTGATTTGTATCAACTATCAAAAAGTTTTGACTGAGCGTTATACTTTCGTCAGAATATGTTGAGATTGATGATCTCTTGACATGTTACAACCGTTCATAGGCTTTCTAAATGTGTTCTTTTAGGCTCACATGATAACTCCTTTGTAGCTCATTTGTCCATTGGTAAAAACTTATTAGGTTATAAAATTGAAAAAGATTTCTTTCTATATTTATTTGTACATAAGTGACTTTTCGGTATTTAAAAATCGTCAAAAAATACTATGATTATAAACATTTGATGGAAATATAACTAGTAGTGAGTTAAATGTAAGAGTTAATTCCTTAGTCAATGATTCTTAATATCTTAGTTCATGTTTAGTGGCCATATATCCGGCTTCATATCAGAAGTTTGCAGGTTCGAATCACGTTAGGCTCACTACTTTAGTGGCCTGAGATCTGTTTCCAGTTATACAGTATGAATGTTATTACATTAGTTGAGGTTTGATTCAATTTCGCTTAATAAAGCTGTACACGGAAAATATATTGACAATCAAGTGGTAGTACTTAAGAAATTGCCTGTGATAATCTACTTACCCGATACCTTTCTCCAATTAGATTATATGAATGATTGTTATTGATAATATACATATCGTCAGTCCTCATGTATAGTTATCGACTTAATCCGCGTTAGTGAATAACGAATTGAATGAGTCGAATATGAGAATGGATGTTTGAATACGTATATTTTGTACATTCGTTGATTTGAACATACAATCAGAGAATCTCAGCGAATGAGGCGAAGAAGAGAGAGCTTAGCGAAACGAAAAGACGTGCAGTGGAGAAGGCGTATGATCTAACTCCCTTTAACTAAACATTGATCAATGTTTATAGTCATAAAAATAATTTACAGATGTGATGAGTAAGATAAGAAGTGCATACACATACACTCATATAAAAACAGTCAATATTGATAAGTGAATAATTAAACTAGGTTAATACGTGACTCAAGAAGAATGGATAAATTGGCCTGACCCGTAGCCAGAATAAATTATTTGGGGTTAATATAGTAACCGACACTACAAATTTGTAGCAATCATTAATAAGAATTCATTTTCCTCCAACTACTCATATTTCCTTTAAAATAATTATTTGTATAACTCTGTTTTCAAATACAGGTTTCATCAACAAACTTAGTTCACAGCAAATTATATAGTAGACATAATAGACCGGTCTTAAATAATATAACCCATAAAGACTAGATAGTTGAGTTGTCCTAGTATACTTAAGCTTAATGGTGCTTATCCAAGAACCAACATAGAATCAAATCAAACCAAACACCTAAGGTTCTTCAACCAAGCATTCAAACTTCAAAACACCAAGTTTTTATTCAAAGACTTATATTTATTCCTTTGCTCAATTCGTGATATTCCTCCACCCTCATAGTAACTGTTAACAGGTTTAAGAAATATCCAATACACGTTATATAAAGTATAACACTCATGTCAGAAGAATAAATCTATAGAAATAGCAAACACCAATAATAAAAATACATATAATCAAGGCTACAATAAATCCCATGTTGTATGCTAACAAGACTGCTACTACTTAGATACGATCAAACAGTGAATAATCTAATTACTACAATTACAGTCTCAAAACCCAATTCCATGTTTAATTTCTAATTTTTAAAGGCTTATGATAAAGAAGAACGTGAATTATGGGTTTGTCAATGGCCTGGACAAGTTGTTCTCTGTGTATCACAAATCTATTGGACATATGAAGTACATGAATCACTTATATATGGTATTAAAGGTTTAGAAAATTATTACAAAAAATTAGATCAACAAATGAATGCTATTGTTAAATTAGTTCGTGGAAAATTAAATGCACAACAACGTATAACACTTGGAGCACTTGTTGTTATCGATGTACATGCACGTGATGTTGTTCATGATATGATTAAGTTAGGTGTTACATCAGAAAATGATTTTAATTGGTTATCACAATTAAGATATTATTGGGAAAATGAAAATGTTCAGGTAATTCATGTTGTCAAATAGGATTTTATGAATTCACTTTTATTGATTACATATCATTTGTATATATATTACATGTAAAAGGTCCAGTGTCTGTTGCTGTTTCCAAGTAGATATCATTTGAGTGTTTACAAACATATATACCCATCAGTGATCACTTAGTGTAAATATCACTGTTCGAATAGTATCTCAGTCCTACAGGAGGTTAGTCGCGGCCCGGATAGCTCAGTGGTAACGTCTTTGACTATGAAGCTGGGTGACACGGGATCGAATCCGCCAGGGAGCACCAGTTCCCTCAAGATTACAGGTACACTTTGCTGACGAGTGCCAAGTCGACTACTCCAACCACCAACTAGTCTCAATATATAGTGAACGCAGTGTCGAGTCACCTAGACTAGTGGCCACATTGCAACATGGTCGGTAGCATTCGATCTGCACTAAATAAAGACTTGACACGCATGAAATTGATCAATCAATTGTGATTTTGTTCTATATATATACCTAGGATAGAGGGTAAAAAATGTTCCACTCACCTGTCAGTGTTTCATTACATTGTAGATTGGAAATATTGTTTTCTTGACAACTCCTCATGAACACGAAACCTCGATTTAAATGTTCATTTTCGTTAAAATCAAACAGGTTGCATCAATCATCATTAACTTGACTGGGAATGAATCCCAAATATAATCGAACCCAGTGTTTTTAGTCTTCTGTTCAACATGAGTAAAATTTTCTGTAGAAAGACTATTTCCTTTTTATTGCAATTAGATATTTAAATTTTAATATATTTTTACTAAACATAACAGGTCAAACTTACAAATGCTAAAGTATCATATGCTTATGAATATTTGGGTAATTCTCCCCGTCTTGTCATTACTCCACTTACGGATCGATGTTACCGAACATTAATTGGTGCTTATCACTTGAATTTGAATGGTGCTCCAGAAGGCCCTGCTGGCACAGGTAAAACAGAAACGACAAAGGATTTGGCCAAAGCACTTGCTGTTCAATGTGTTGTATTCAACTGCTCGGATGGCTTAGATTATATTGCTATGGGTAAAGTAAGAAAGTGTAATTAACTTTTACATTTTTTTCTTAAAAATATGTAACGATTGTGAAGATTTTAGGCATGTATCTAAATATACTATTAGAGTTATCAATCTATGTCTGATCGATATCCCTCTGTCAAGCGAAAGACCAATACTCTGAGTAGGAATACTCTGTGCTGTATATTACTGTTGTGAAACGTGCCCTATAGAAATAGGGTATATTCGTAGAGTAGTTGTGTAGTGTCAGTCATTATTTTAAGCCCATATATCTTATGTTCTAGTTTTCGGACAAACCAATCTATTCATTCTACTCGAGCCATACTTTGACCTTGTTAATTATTCGCTTATTAGTCTTGACTGTTTTTATATATGAGCGTATATGTGTGTACACTTCATATCCCATGACTCATCACATGTTTGTAGTTTATTTTGTCTGACTATAAATATTGAGTAACGCTCGACTAAAATGGAGTTGGCTTCCCAGCCATCTTCCATACGTGTCGTTTTGCTTTGCTGTGCTTCATTCACTTCATGTACGAAATATATGTATTCACAAATCAATTCTCGTTATTCGACTTATTTAATTCCGTTATTGACTAACGCGATCTAAGTCGACGATGATATACGAGAATAGGTGATAGCAAACATCCATACGCTCTAAATGGAGTCAGATCAACGGGCCACTTACAGTTGTATTTAATTCTACATCCATCAAACCACTGGTCTCATTCTCTAGGACAATCTAGTGAGTAACAATAATGTTATATTCAAAACAAAGAATATTTAACCGAAAAATTGTTTCCAATTACTTTTTCATCAGGCTCTACGGTTATAGTCTATGATTATGGTGATATTTTACAAAGGCCATCCATTATTGAATTTGACATTGTTGTATGTTAAAGTGTTAAGCTTTCGCATATGTTACGACATAAATTCTTCAAAATTGTGTTATTTGTAAATTAGAAGTCTCATTGAATAAAGGTTAGAATGATCCGTAGTAGTGTCAAGTTATAACCAATATAATGGTAATACAATAAATTGTGTGAATAAAATGCATAATATGAAAATTTCTTCTTGTCAGTCCAGGTAATAATAACAATTACGTTGTGTGAGTATTATGTTAAATAAGAGAGATGTTGTCAGGGTAATTATGAAAAAAAGAAAGAATTCCTGTGAATTCGGAAAGATGGATGTGTAGATTAAGAAAGATATAAACGCTCAAGGAATCGGGAGGGATCAGCACAACTAAGTGGAATCCATAGAAAGTTCAGAGTATTTAGATGAGATCCGGTTAATTACCGGGAATAACTATACGCGTCGAGTAATAAACATATAAACGGGGAATATCTCAGTGATTCATAAAATATGTAAACCTAATCTTTGATCATCCATTAGGATATTGGTATATGTTCCAAAATCCGAACTGTCTTGTCTGGTCTTATGTGTTCTGCTTACTTCAGGCGTTTGACATATCGGAATTCTCTCCATTTGACAAGCTTTGGCGACTTGTTGCACTACATATACTTGGGATTAAATATCATTAATAATAATTTGTTTTCTTCATTCCTAATGTATCACTAGTTCTTCAAAGGACTTGCTTCTTCTGGAGCGTGGGCTTGTTTTGATGAATTCAATCGTATTGAACTTGAAGTTTTATCTGTCGTAGCCCAACAGGTAAAAATAGAAAAATAAAAATTTTAGTTACTAAAAATAATTTTTCGCGAAAATTTCTGAACTTCTAAATTGTTGTTCAACACTTTATAGATTTTAACTTTTGAGGTAAATCAGTTACTATTTTATGAATGTAATCATCATGATACTGATGGAATATATGTATATGTCATAAGATTAAGCTATCCGTTAGAACTGATTTCAGTATCTCTAAAGACAAAATACAGCTTTCAATGCTTGGAATTGAATACAATATCTAAGCAATCGTCACAGGATGCATATACCAATAAGAGACTGATCAATTTCAGTTCTAAAATCAATGGGAAAATTCAAGCAACCAATACAAAAATGAACTAAATTTCACCTCATTGCACAAGCTAGCGGCTATCTGGACTCAGTAGCTAAGTGGATAACGTGATAGCGTTTGAAGTGAAGAATACTGGGTTCGAGTCTCTGAGTGAAAATCAACTCTGGGATACAGGTACATCGAGCTGATTAGTCCCGATTAGGACGAAACGAGAGTCCTAGATTCTACTGCTAGCCACTATCATGTCCGCTAATGATTTATAATTTGATTTTTATATAGTTTTTTTTCCTGTTGAACTAGAATGATAAGCTGACATTTGAAGTCATATACGAATATATTGTTTATCTATATAAAGTACGATAATAGTCCGAATAATAAGCATTAAGTAACAAATAAGTAAAACAATAAAATTTCTTCTCTCAACGGAAAGTTATCTAGAGAAGTGCTCATGAGGTACATGTGTATATACATTCGAAAGAAAGGGAATGTAAGCATACAAGCAATAAAGCAAATAAGTTTTACTGTTTTTCAGGTACTTGCTTAATATACCATTTCACAGATTGAAATCATGAGTCAATTGAAGCTAGACCATCATGGAAAACCTGGAAGCACTAGACAGCCGTTTCGTCCTAGTATGAGACTCCTCAGAAGTGCGCATCCACGATCCCGCACCCTGCTTAATATACCATTTATTTGAATTGTGTTTACACTTTGAGTTTAATGGAATCTTAAAGCATGCAGTTTTTATAGGCACATGGTATTCATTCAGTTATCAAGATGTGAAAAATTATGTTCACATTACCATGACCATTTAACAAAATTGTTTACGAATTACATTTAGATCTATAAAAATTAATATACTCATCTTCAAATAAAGAGTTTAGCTATTGGACATCATCATTGGTTAGATATTTGTAAGAAGTGTTAAGATCATGCATTGAGTGGTTAAATAAGAAAATGGTGAAAAGAATCATCCAAGGGTTTTACTTAGTATGAACTAAATCTGGACACAAAATCATTAGGTAAGACAATTGTTAATGTCTTTGGAATATAGTAAATTTAATTAACCTATGGTTTATCTCAACATACTTTCACTAAAACCTATAATACTACTATGTCACATAGTTCATTTATTCAAGAAATTATAAACATGTGGATTAATATTGTAAAGAAAATAATTGGTGTGACCATAATTTATGGAGGACCATTGAACGACGTTAGACTGACCTTGAAAGTGTCCACCTAATAACTAAGATCAAATAAGGGTTATAAACCAGTGTGAAGAATTGGAATTATGATTTACAGTTGATGGTTAAGGTTACGAATTAGATTGAGGGTTTTCATCACGAACTGACATAAGCTATAATGCCAAGATTTTATTTAACCAAATAGATGAGTGAATTTCGCACTAAAATCCGCGACCTGTTATCTTATACCTAATTGGTTCGTTCATAAATTGTAGTCTGGCCAAATAATTGAATCAAGATTCCGATTGTTTTTAATTTAACCACACATAAATTTATATTTCGTACTTTGTTAAGTTATTTATTTTCAAATTAAATTTGTAGTCAGTTATTTAAAGGTTTTAACTATATCCAATTACGCAATTAATATTACTCAAAACTGTTCTTAATTTTCCAAGTAGTGGAAACTTACTTCAGTAATTTGATTATTATAGAATAAACATAATTGTGTTGTTTTTGTTTCTTTCAAACAGATTCTTTGTATTATACGAGCTATTCAATCTCACTTAGAAGTATTCATATTCGAAGGAACGGAATTAAATTTAAATCGTAATTGTTATGTGTGTATAACAATGAATCCTGGTTATGCAGGTCGATCTGAATTACCAGATAATTTAAAAGTAAGTAATTTAAGATTTATCAAGATAAAGTAAAGAATTTTTGGAATATTGGACTTCGAGAGAAGAGAACAAATTATGCGTGCTTACTTACTTAGGCCTGTTACTCCCACTGGAGCATAGGTTGCCGACCAGCATTCTCCAACCCATTCTGTCCTGAGCCTTCCTTTCTAGTTCTATCCAATTGTTGTTTATTCTTTTCATGTCTGTCTCTATTTCTCGGCATAATGTGTTCTTTGGTCTTCCTCTTTTTCTTTGGCCTTGAGGATTCCAAGTGAGGGCTTGCCTTGTATGGTTTTAATTATATTTCCTGGTTAGAATTTTATTGGCGGGTTAGTTTTCTACGGGATGGAGTTGCTAACCCCATGCCCAACCATCATCATTTATCCGTGCTTGAGACCGGCAGTAGCCCCAGGAGGGCTTCAGGAGGAGTTTAAGCGTACTTATTTTAAATTAATTTCTGTGATCTGTTTTCTACCTAAGGATCAATTGTATGGTTGTGTTATTATTAACCATGACATTTCCTCTTTCAAGAACATTTCATCTAAACAGATGATTAAATAACTAACGACAAAGCATACTTTATAAATTTCAACAAGTAACTGATCATAAAATTTTTCGATGTAAAGCTCAGTAACATAAATTTACTTTACATTAGTGATTTCAATAGTTGAAATCATGGGTCAATTGAAGCTAGACCATCATGGAAAACATGAACGGCAGTTTCGCTCTATTGTCGGACCCCCCAGCAGTGCTTCCAAATTTTCCATGATGGTCTAGCTTCAATTGACTCATGATCTCAACTATTGAAATTACTACAATATCCACAAAAAGCCCTTCTGATAATAATTACTGAGTTTAAAGCTTATAAATTGGATCTCATGAAAATGTTGTAAAGCAATGTTTTATTGAACATTTTATCACATACCAACTTTACTAACTAAAAAATAACCATTTATGTCTCAGATTTCCTTATTCACTACTGAATGTTCCTATATTTTTCCATAACATTTTACATTGAGCTTCAAAATTACTCTTTGCTTGTGGCCTAAAAGACAATCTTTAGATAAGGTTAAACTTGAACATAAATAGAGTTATCCCAATTGAACTACTTTTTGACTGTAATACTTGGCTTGTATGGTAGTAAACAGAAGTACGCAGCACACATATAACATATTTTATTCATTTCTATAATATTTAGTTATATAAGTAGTTATATAATATACCCTCGTGGGCCAGGGTAATTTTACATTGGTTTTCAGGAGAACCAGACACCATACAGACTCTCATGTAACAACCCAAACAGTACAGCTCAATCCCATTTAAAAGGAGAGCCAGACACCTTCCAGGCTGAAATTTTATAACCCGAACAGTACATCGCAATCCCACTTCACAGGAGAACCAGACACCGTATAGGCTTTAACGCTACAATCTGAATAGTACAACTCAATCTTGTGGCGCAAACACACAGGTATCAAGCACCTTGGTTGAATTGCTGGCTTTATAGTATTCCCTGCAAACGGATTTATAAGTTCTGAAATATAAACCTTAGCCCTGTTCTTCAGAAAATTCACAATGCTATCTATTAATATATGTTATAAAAACAGCGAACAAGCAACATTTAAAACGTTTTAGATAAAATGAATAAATAAATCTGTTTAGTCAAGAATCTGTACCGACTGATGAGACTTACATATGAATTACACGTGCGGAAGAATTGTGTGTTTCGATATTCTAGGGTCATTTACCCAACAAAGACATTACGATCCTCAATGAAGTAATTAACCAATAACTCAAAACGATCAGCTCTTCAGGATTTGAAAGATCAACTTCTGAAAATTTTGTAGATCAAGATAATTCTATAGCTTTTTGTACTCTTCCATTTCCGTGGTCCACACCACAGAATAACTACAGAATTTAGACAATTTTCATGAACCTCTTTCGGTTAACTTTATCTATCTTTAAGATGTAAAACTAAAATGATCAAGAATAGATGAATTTATGGTCACTAGTGGAACCCAGGATAATTGTTTCATCCGATTTGGGACCTGTCAACAGGATGTAACTGTACCCCAATGTTGAAAATGTTTTTAGATTAATGACAGTATCGAGGGAATTCACACAAGATCGACATCCATCACAAGAGCCTTATCCTTAATGTTAAAAACGAGGAAATTCAAATGTTCCTTAAAAATAAATTAAATAACAATCAAGTTGATTCTAAATATAGATAATATAATTTATACTTTATAAACAATATCTTTTTAGGTTTTATTTCGTCCAGTAGCTATGATGGTTCCAGATTATGCTATGATTGGTGAAATATCACTTTATTCTTATGGTTTTATGGATGCACGTAGTTTATCTGTAAAAATTGTTACCACATATCGTTTATGCTCAGAACAACTATCATCTCAAGCTCATTATGATTATGGTATGCGTGCTGTCAAAGCTGTTCTACAAGCAGCTGGTAATTTAAAATTAAAATATCCTGATGAAAATGAAAATATTATTGTAAGTAATGATTCAATTTAATAATTATGAGTTGTGTATTTTATAGAAGTATATAAGGAAATCAACAAGTAACTGTTATAACTTGAGCCCTATGTCCCATTAATGTATAACGTAATGATACCGACAATTAGAGAACAGTGAATTATCGACCGGACCAATGACCCATAAAACAATTACGAGCAGCCTAGAGTCCTTATCGGTCCTGCTTCCTGCCTAGCCCAGCCTGTTAAATCCAGAGCACCAATCTCAGCCTCTGCGATATGAATCGTTTATTTCAAACATCGTACCATCATGCCATAAAATAGGAAACAATATTTGTACAAAATTTAGCTAAACGTGGCCGTGAATGAGAGAGGTAGTGTTTAACAGACAGGGAATAATTCAAGAATGGTAAATTGTATAATAATAGTTCATAGGTCAAAATAAAGCTTATGAAAAGAGTAAGCACGAATATGAATAGTTTGGTTACTTATCAATTATACGATGAAAATATACGTATAGTATTGGTGAATAAATGGATCCTAAAGTTACCATTCATTATTCTCATCTGGATATAATTGTAACAAATACTCCCTTTTGATTCATAAGAGTCAGTCATATTAGTTCAAATTGTTTTAAGCTTAATAATATTTAGATATGTTTTCTATGATCATTTTCCACATTGTAAATGTCTACAAATGATAGGATTATACATATAAATAACTAAATATAATTGAGACATTAAAGAGGAAGAATGTATTTGTAAAATCTCAACGAATGAATTTGAAGTAAATCTAACGTTTTGCCTGACAATCTGGTTCAAGCTTTTTCAAGGAAATATAATTGAGTTCTTTTATTTCAATAGAATATCTCTTCCTTCTTCTTGTTCATTTAAATTTTAGCTCTTACGTTCAATTATCGATGTGAATTTGCCAAAATTTTTAGCGCATGATATTCCTCTATTTCGTGGTATTATATCAGATTTATTTCCTGGTGTTATGTTACCAGAAGCAGATTATAGTATTTTCTTAGCTGAAGTACATAAAGTATGTCAAGAAAGAAATATACAAGCTGTTAACTTTTTCACTGAAAAAATTATACAAACATATGAAATGATGATTGTACGACATGGGTAAGTATATCTGTGTGAAAATATTATTAAACAAAATGAGATAATGATCAAAATGGAGGGATTGGGGAGATCGTAGTGATTTTAATAGTTGGATTCATGAATCGATGTAAGCTGAGTCCACCAATAAAGACCTAGAAGCACTGGAGACTGTTTCGCTAAGCGTTCGCATGCGATGCCGAAGGTCTTTGGTTCGAGTCCCGCATGCGGGATTGTGAATGTGTACTGCTAGGAAGTACCATCCTAGGACGAAACAGCCGTCCAGTTGAATAGCTTACATAGAATCATGAATTCAAATATTACAAAGAGACAAGTAAATGTAAAGATTTATTTCATAAATGATGGTAATCTGAACGTACAACACTTTGAGGAATGACAAAAGTCATTATAAATTGATTATTTGGGACACAGTGAAAAGTTATAGATCAGTAAGCAGTATTATTTCATTTAGCTATTCGTGATGTAACGTAGTTTCTCGTTTACTTGAATCATTGAGTCAAGTATTGGAATCAAATAGTAGGTCAGTTTAAACAGAATTATGAAAAGGTCTAACAGGAGCAAAATGCTAATAACTGGATGAGCCATAAAATCTGCACTTAAACATTAAAGGAGCTCTTGATCTTCAAGCCAAGTATTCCCCCGATTGACGTTCACTAAATAGGAGACTTTAGTCAACTAATCCAATTTTATCAGCATTAAAAGCTGTTACATTTGCAGTATAACTAAATCATGTTTTAAAAAAGCCCAACTCAGCTACGGTTACTCTCTCCCATGTTGCTTTTTGTGTAATATACATCATGGTCCTCAGTAATATTAATTAATCTAGAACATTTAAAAGTATTCAATGTAAAGACCCGGCGAAAAAATAGCATCCATGATCCACGGGATTAGGAACCTGACTTGCAACCTAGGTGTTTTAGATCCCCGTCCATAATTATCAACTGAGGTCTGAACAAGTAATTAGTAGCCTCATCCATCACAGTACAAAATGGGCTATGATTTATACCACCCATTTATAAAAGTAGATCTATTTGACGTACACGCCAGCCCAAGTATTAATTGTTTTGGATTTCTGAACAGAATAAAACTTTTGAGTTATTCACACAACATCTTTTATGTTATCGGTATGTTTTTAACATTCATTTTTATGCTTCCGCCATTTCATTACTTAGTTTTATGCTTGTTGGTGAACCATTTGGATCCAAAACTACCGTACTGCATACATTAGCTACAGTGATGACACGGTTAAATGAAAATGGTCACGATGAATATGAAAAAGTGATTTATAAAACAATTAACCCTAAAGCAATTACAATGGGACAATTATTCGGTGAATTCGATCCTGTTTCACATGAAGTAAGTTGGACTAAATTATTTAACATCTGATCAGTATAATGTCTCCTTAAAGAAATATATCTAGGATTTCTGTAGAGGCATTTTGTTCAATATTTTGAAATTTTTGTTATCGGTTACTCTTTTGATAAGTGAATTATCAGTCATAAGTTATTAGTTTAAGCTCTGATTGCTGCACGCATAAAGTAATTCGTTTCCGACAAGTGGCTCTCAAATTCGAAACCTTGCCTACCCACTCTAGATGAAACAGCTAGTTCATGTCAAAAAGTAGTTCAGATCAAAGTTAAGTACATAAAAGGCGCTTAGCCTCGTTACTACAAATTTCAGTTATGAATAAATTTTCTATGTTGGTTATTCTCAAGTACCTGATTATTTAAATTTAAGTTAATCGAAAAAGAAAGTTATTTGATCTTCTCACTATATTCTCAACATTTAACCTTTCGTTTCACCATTGTTGCTGCATTGTTTTAATTTCTTTTGTGCTTTTCATCTTGTCATATCGACCACTTATGGAAACGTATGCCAAGAACATCTGTGTCAAGCTCTAATATGATAATGTTTTTTTATCTATCACCCAGTTACAGTTGTTAAGATATCCAGACCTAATGCTATTCATGAAGCATTTATTTATATCATATATGGTCTATATTTTTTTATAAGGTGAATGATGAACTCAATGTTTTAATTAACTCATGAAATCAATCACTATTTCCTAAATTAAAAGATTTCACGTACCAATGGACTGAATATCATTAAGGAATTACTAAGTTCTCCTTCTTGCTTGGGATATTCAGCTAAGAGAGTATGACTGTTAGTCACTTCTCATTTAACACATAATTGATCAAAGTTAAAATCGGAAGCCCTAAAAAGATTAATCTGTTGTTCACATCAATTTGTTCTGTCATTTTAAATGACTGTTCATAAAACAACATATACTCTAATGTTGATGGTCATTATACTACTTACTTGTTACCAGTTATTATATAAAGTTAATTTCATTAACCGATCAAGGTTAGACCATCGCTGGAAACTTGGAAGCATTGAACAGCCGCTTCGTCCTAATAAAGGACTCCAAAGAAGTGCTCAACAGTGACCAGCTTCGAGAGATAATTCTCGGAGTTTTGGTGAGAAATCGTGATCAGTGAAATTCAACCGTGTCGGGTGAGTGGCAGTTGCCCACTTAACACAGCGGACGATGTTTGGACAATATCGTGGATTGACTGAAGTTAGACATTAACACTGTTAGATCCCGGTTCAGTGGTTTAGATGTTAATAGTTCACGTGACACAGAAATTACTGAGTTTGAGTCTTACGTACAGGATCGTGGTTGTGGGCTGGTGAGGAGTCCCATACTAGGAGAAAACGACATATCAGTGCTTTTGGGTTTTCAATGGTGATCTAACATTGTTCGGTTCATAATCTCAATAAAAACTCAATAATTTTCACAACCCTATAATGATGATTTCACTCTACGACATGGGATGTCATTTTTAGTTTATCAATGGCTTTAAGAAATAGGCTCCTAGTCTGTAGATCTAAATAAATGAGTCTGTTACTGCATGTTTACTTGGATGTGTTATCAGACTTTAAACGGATTTCTTGGTAATAATTCCACTGAATGTTTAATACGGTCTACTCTTACTTCTTACCATGAAGTGTACAGTAATTTTTTCACTTAATGAGGTTTCATGTTTATATACGTACTATACCCTTTCTTAATGTAGTATTCCTAATATTTTAGTGGACTGATGGTGTAACAGCAAATACATTTCGAGAATTTGCATCAAACGATACACCAGATAGAAAATGGGTTGTATTTGACGGACCCATCGATACATTATGGATTGAAAGCATGAATACTGTATTAGATGATAATAAGAAATTATGTCTAATGTCTGGTGAAATTATTCAAATGTCTCGTGTAATGAGTCTTATATTTGAAACAATGGACTTATCGCAAGCATCAGTAAGTCAATTTTGTTCAACATCATATTGCCCATTATTTTACTGAATTTTATTTAAAACTAGCTAGCTTCAAGATCCAGCTGCTAAAGTTCTAGTGAGAAACTCTGTCCGTATCTTGAAACCGAGTTCAACCCATGTCGGATTCAATACAGGTATCCACCATAGGTAGTAGATGAGGGTAGCGCAATATTCTGGCTCTGTGGCCTAAAAGGAATTATCCTGAGTTCGATTCACGGATACTGGGTCGAGGATGTGCACTACTATAAGGTCCAATACTAGGATAAAATTGCCATCCTGTGTTCCTTGGTCTTCAATGATGATAGGGCTAACTATTTTGTTCATCTTCTAGGTATTCATTGAATCGAATTCAAAAGATAAAAGTCTCTTAAATAAGAATTAAAAAAAAGTTGTTAGTTTTGAAATCAGTAGTAAATTATCTTCAACTAATAGTGATCACTTTAATATTATTTATTATAATTCTTATCTTCTTTGACCATTAAGCCAAATCATAACTTACCAGCTAATCCAGAAAATACACTGTGTACTGAAACTTTTAATCTAGTCACGATAAGCACAAAATCAATACATTTAACAGATGATAACTGCCGTGAGTTCATGAATAAAACACGTAACTCATAGCAGGATAGTTTGATAATATATAGCTTTATTGACAATATCCACTGATAATGTTGTCTAGAAAGACACAGAAACCTTTAAAATAAAGTTATCCACGTCATAGCACAACATCCGAAAGACAAGTATTGTATTTCAATTCACTACATTAAAGAGCTGTTTGTCATAAAATCTAAAAACATTCATAACAATCATGAGACCGAAAGAGATTTTGTAATAATTGAAAAGTTCTAAAACAATCCAAGAGAATATTATATTCTTTTTTGACTGATATCATGAACCGATTGATGTTAAACCACCATTGAAAACCTGGAAGCACTGGATCGCCGTTTCCTCCTGTTATGGAACTCCTCCGTTGAATGCCGGCTCAGGGGTTCAGAGGTTAAGCGTTCGCGCGCGAGGCTGAAGGTCCTGAGTTCGAATCCCTTGAGTGGGTTCGTGAATGAGCACTGCTGAGGAGTTCCACGATAGGACGAAACGGCCGTCCAGTGCTCCCAGGTTTTTGTTGGTGATCTAAAATCAGTGAAATAGTTTATTATCATTCTTTATCGCTAATATATATATATATATATATATATATATATATATATATATATATATATATATATATATATATATATATATATATTTGCTGTTGTACATCTTGAAAAATGAAATGGCCGAAAGGAGAACTCTCCACTGAACCAATCTTTCTTAATTTATATTTCATTGGGCATATTCTGTGTGCTTACTACTATCATAGTATTTAACGAAAGCTATCTTTTCACCTATGCTAATCTCCACAAATTACCAAAAGAAAGCATAGTGTAATTTATTTTTAAAAAATGTTTTGTTTGTTTTAAATGTTCTTGTTAATATATATTTTTATTATATCATCTTTTAATGTTAACAGCCAGCTACAGTATCACGCTGTGGTATGATATATATGGAGCCTTTATCCTTAGGTTGGCGTCCACTAGTTCGCTCATGGATAAATCGTTTACCAACATCATTAACAACTGGTGACACTAAAGATATGATCAATTCATTCTTTGAATGGTCTCTGGACCCATGCATGGAATTTATACAAACTAATTGTCGTACATTAGTAGCTACACGTCAAGGCAATTTAGTTACATCGTGTTTAGGATTCATTGATATGCTTATTGAAGATGTAGCTAATGAAGAAGATGCAAATGAAAATCGTTATTTACGTTTATGGTTACAAACATCTATTGTATTTGGTATTATTTGGGGTATTGGTGGTTGTCTAGATTATAATAGCCGACAAAAATTCGATCATTTCTTAAGAAATTTATTGTCTGGTACAAATGAAAAACATCCTTTACCAAAAGAATTGGGACAAAAACTTGATTTTCCATTTCCAGAATCTGGTCTCGTTTATGATTATTATTATAAAGTAAGTGTGTAGAAAATGAATGCTTCTTTGAAAAAGTCAATTTGAATACTTTACTTATCTGACTAACTGCCATAAAGTTTTTCTATCGTCCAGTATTGTGATCGCACTTAACTGATAAATGAAGCCTCAGAATCAATAAAGATTATATCTTACTTTTCACGTTGTTCTATATTCAGATATGATTTATATATTCAAGTGTTATTTTCTTCGTAGGAAATGAGACTTTGTTACATAATATACAAGTGACATCCCGTCAAATTGAAAAAGACATGGTTTTAAGTAAATTATGCTGAAAACTGTATTTTCAGTATTATTCGACAGATGTTGGAACAGTGTTGAACAGTGCTGATATACCAACATGTCCAATTTACACATATATACCACTTACTGAGTAATAACTGTTGTCGATCAGTTAGATAGGAAGCATGTGACCAATACTAAAAACCCAGACAGATATTAAGTTCGTTATTATTGAATAATGAATGAAGATAAATATCTCAGTTCAGCTTTGAGCCATACGAAAATCAAATAGTTCAATGGTGATGTCTCTGGCTGTGAAGCTGAGTGACTTGTATTTAAATCATATTGTGAGAATCAGTTTCTTTAGGACTGCAGGAATACATGACTGACCAGTACCAATTAGACCAAACCTAGATCCATGGTTTCCCACTATTTGCCTCCAACCACCTGGCACTATCTATACTGTCTGACAGTATGTGTAGGGTAAGCTAGCAAACTGAACTGTACACATGTTTGTTTAACTAAAATTATGGCTAACAATGAAAGATCAGTACAATATCATGGTGATTGCTACTTAATATCGATAACAAGTATAACAGATACTTCTGATGTCCAACTAAGTTTTTATTTTGTTAGATCAGTTCGTATATAAAAACTTCAATAAGATTTGATCTCCACAGTACAATAGGATGAAATGAATCTATAATAAGTTACTTACCATCGACTATTTATAAATCCACATTTATAAACCTAAATATCAAAAAACTGAATTTAAAGTCCTTATTTTATTATTTTGCGCTACACTAAAACTCATACCGATACGGAGTCGTGAAATCTCAACTGAAGTTCATTGAGACTTATGAGTCAACAGAGGGTCTTTAATTTTCTGTCCTATGCGTTATATTAGAAGAGATAAACAACCCGACTAAGATAACAAGCTGCTTGTGTTTTTCTAAAGTATGAACAATCGATAAACCAAAGTGATACAAATATTAGATTAGGACCTCAATAGGAGGTCTGAACAACTCGATGATCGAGTAGGAAGGTGTAATATAAGAATACAATCTGGAACAAACTAGATGTTAATGTCTTATTTATATAAATAGCTAGAGAGAAACCCTAATGTTATGTGTCAGTCGTGTCCATTTGGCTTAAATACAGAAACAAAATCGACTTAATTATCATCAATTTAATAGCTTCACTGTTATCATATTATCTTGCAAATATGACCAAAACCTCTAACTTTTTGCCTTCCGAACTCGTAATTAGTTCAAAAGTCGCGGTTCCTGGAGACACTGGAATGAAAAGAATAAAACTGATGACCAAGTTTCTGATAGAAAAATACGTGAAATTATTGTACCTACAATGGATACAGCACGTTATAAATTTATAGTTGATTTATGCATGAAGAAACATCGTCCACTTTTGTACGTAGGTCCAACTGGAACCGGAAAATCAGTATATGTCCAAGAAAAGTTAATGAGAGATATTGATAAAGATAAGTATGTAGCCTATTTTGTCAACTTTTCTGCTCAAACAAGTGCAAATCAAACTCAGGTAATGATTTTTTTTGCAGTTATAAATAATATACTATTGGTTATGATATAAGTAGTTCCATTTTATTAAACAAAATCCTGATAGAATCTGAAATTTCGAGCACAAAAGATATTACCTTGATATTTATTTAGGCTGATAACTGTATTTACAAACATAAGCTAAAATCAATGTCGGAAAATTTGGTTAACAGATTGTAACCTATATCGGTGAACAAAAAATTGTGTTCTCTGCTGTATATCATATTGAGTAGATCAAATACGTTTCGTACGTTATTAGGATAGTCAACGTATCACTAATACTGCTTACTTTTTGCAACATAGTATCATTTATGTCTCATAGAAGTGTAAATAGTGGACAAATCCAGGGAAGTATTCGTTTTCTCAATAATCAGGTATGTGAGAAAAGTCTGATTATGTTTATAATAAGCTTCATCACTACAATTTCTGTCTCAAGAGTTACATTAAGTAGAAGCTCTTGATCAAACCTAATTTCAAAGAATATGGCTAAGTTGTTATACCAGTTTGCATTCTTATACTTTAAAGTTATTGTAATTAGTGATTTATTTATGAAAAATAATTTGAGTTCAGTTTAATCATGATCACGTATTTATGTTAGCAATAATAATGATATTATAAGCAAAGACGGATAGGAGCTAGCAATGGACGCGCGTTCCGTCCTATTTGGAACTCGTCAGTCAGAGATGCAGGTACATCCAGTTAACGAGCCTTGGATAGGAAGAAACGCTCGTCTTGTAACTAAAGAAATGTTCCATTCAGAACAGGTTAGCATTCTTTTAGCGAATTAGATTTCTACGGAATGGGGTCGCTAACCTCATGTCTAACCCTCCTACTTTATCCGGGCTTGGGATCGGCAATTGACCCCATAGGGGCTCCAAACGAAGTTTCTCATAACAAGTGTATATCATTATTTGATTTCGATATTTTTTCCCTTTTTTTCAGTTTATTGTTATGTCAAAACTTGATAGAAGACGTAAAGGTGTTTATGGTCCACCTATGGGTAAAACAGCTGTCTTATTTGTTGATGATTTAAATATGCCAACTAAAGAGATTTATGGAGCTCAACCGCCTATTGAACTACTACGAATGTTTATTGATCATGGTTATTGGTTAGTTTATATATAAATAATAATTATTTGATTAAATGATCTTTTATTATATTATTGTATGAAATGAGTTACATTTCTATGGTGTTTGTTGAAAAATACTTTGTTGTTTCATAAAAACTATATTCATAAATAAAGATACTACATGTTAAGTTTCAATAAAATGGGACTTTGTGTATAGTTTAACATTATTTGGAAAACCAATGAAAACCAGGTGGAAATCTTTTGATATTTGGTCTTGGTTATGGATCCCTTAATAATTCGTACATTTAACTGCATAAAGCAGTTTAAAACACGTTAAGATTATATCTCTTCAGATGTATAAAATGCATCTGTATGCAAAGATTAAAGTTGTTAACCGCAGATAGCTATTCATAGACTATTGTAATTTGTATTATTGACATATTTATTTCTCCATATGGTGTCTTTTAAATATTTTTAATTATTCAAGTTTATGTGACTCTGTTTTAAGTTTTCAGGTCAATCGCTATCGAATTTGTCCATTCTAATCTTCGGAATTCTTCATGTCCCTTTTTTTCTCTTACCAAATTTGTTTCACTCCTTGAATAACGTCTTCAAACCTTAATCCTTCCGATGAATGCTTATATTCTTACTGCTTCTACTACTACGGAATATGAATCGACAGCTGCATCTCCGTGCAAATGTGGTATGGCAACTCGAACGGATGTACGTACGTACGAAGTTCCACGTTGTTACTGACTGACTGACTGTCAGTAATTCTTTGTTTTAATTTCACTTAGTGTTGTATTAATAGTATCTTCCCATTGCCATTTAGATCAACTGCAGTCCTAAATAACAATCGAAAAATACATATAAAACAACACCAAGTGGGTTTAAACTTCACCACATTGCATAAGTAGGTGGATAAGAGGACTCATAAGCTAAATGGATAATACGATGGCGTTTGAATCGAACGGTACTGGGTACGAGTCCCAGAGTGAACATCAACTCTGAGATACAGGTACATCCAGCTGACGTGTCCCAAACAGGATGAAACGGGCGTCCTGTATTCCACTACTATCCACTATTTATTCTTCGTTTTGTCATTATATATATATATATATATATATATATATATATATACAACATTATACTCAGCAGTTTGAGCTATATTCAGTCATTTCTAAAGCTTACATTTTCAGCTTATAATTTTCATTTGATTTTTTATTCATTCATCAATTAACACTAGAATTTATTCTTTATTTTGTCGCTTATTTTCAAGTGTATGCGCTACTCTCAGAAATTACGTTTACGTTAAGAGATATTCTGTTTGATAGACAGGAATCTTCATTCATCTCTATTAATTACTGTTACACAAACAATAATTGTTCTCTGATTTATATTATGCTTTACAAACTACTCTTTTTCAATCAAGTAGAAAACATCATTTACTTAGAGATGTTTCACCATAGTAATTGACGTTTAAATACATCATGGTCCATAATTTGTCGATACTTAGTATTTTTTTCTAACAACACCATTGTAATTTCAGATTTAGTTGGTCTTACGAATTCGGAACTTTACTGTTTAAATTATTCATTATATCTGAAATCTCGTACTAGTTCTTTTCAATAAATTTGTTTTGTAAAATGATCAAATACGGCATATATTCGTATTCCTACAAACTACTTACTGACCAGTAGTTAGTAGTATAGATAAATTAGCAGAAATTATTTGAAATTGACTATATTTGTACTGTTTTGTTTTCTTGCTTGATTTTATTTTAGGTATGATTTAAAGGACACCACAAAATTAATATTACAAGACATTCATTTAATTGGAGCAATGGGACCTCCAGGAGGTGGACGTAATGATGTGACACAACGTTTTATGCGACATTTTCATGTAATCAGTATGACACCATTTAATGATGAAACTATGACAAGAATATTTTCAACATTGATGAATATTTATATACGCGTATGTCATTTTTATTGTTTTCTTTCTTAATTACAGTTTTGAAAATAAGTTTCAAGGCATAAATTGTACAAAACACTTCTAATGTTTTAATGAAGAATTGTGACATATTTATGAATCTCATTTAATACAATAATATGACTATCTTTAATAAAATACCAAGATATTACCCTCGATTACCATGTAATAGAAGTGATCTGGTTCTGCGCGTTGAATAAATTCAAAAGAACAGTACTTTATATGTATTAGTAGACTATCCATTAATTTATTCAACTTGACATAAATGAAAATCTTCAATTCATATAACTAGCTTATTACTGGTCACGAACAAGGTGTTTCAACTGAGATTTAAAATCAAGTCATTCAATAATGCAGTCATCAAAGTTATTATTACCCGCTTCTTTCAAAGAGTTGGCATACTTGTTGTTCCGCAATTTTTACGGAAAATTATAATGATTAATAATACATGAAAGAATATCTATGGACTAAGAGAAATATTACAACAAACTGCGGATATGAGATATGGTCTCTATCACTCAAGTTATATTACCTTTAAGATCCTCATCAAATCTTATCCAAATTTGGCAAACATGTTCTCATTTTAAAATTTTTCGAGATAGCTTAGATAATAAAAAGATTTTGACAAAAACTTGTTACAAAGCTGTAGAATGTTTGTATATGATGCTTTTGGCTTAAGCCAATATCCAAACGATCCGCATAGGATTCACATTTGCAGTTCTAAACGACAATGGGAAGGTACAAACAACCAATATAAAATGAGTTTATGTTGTAGTAAAGTTCAAATTTTTCCTCTTATGTACTCTTGGATATGTTGCACCACTTGTGATATAATCGTATTACATGCTAGTAACATATAACAACCTATCTTTACTATTCTTCTTTTGCTGTGTATTTTCTGTAGTCACAAGAATTTAGTTCTGAGTATATAACAGTTGGTCAAATCATTGTATCATCAACGTTAGAAGTTTATAAAGCTGCAATTGAAAATCTATTACCTACACCAGCTAAATCACATTATTTATTCAATCTACGTGATTTTAGTCGTGTTATCCTGGGTATTTGTTTGATACAAAAAGATCGAGTTGAAAGTAAACATACTTTCTCACGTTTATGGGCTCATGAAGTAATGAGAGTATTTTATGATCGTTTAACAGATGATGCAGATAGAACGTGGTTATATGAGTAAGTCTTTTAATAATCAAATATTAAAATTGTTTATCACAATTCGTATTTCGGAATAACTTATTTAATGTGGAAATGTAACATAATTCCGGTCTTAACTGATAAATAAATGAGGAAGTAATTGACCTGGAATTTTTTCTCCACAATGATTAACTTCACAACTGACGAGGACAATTCCTAAATTTTTAAGTAAACGATAAGGCGCTCAGCAATCATCAGCTTAAGATTGTGGTTAGAGGTAGTCAACAGAAAATCGTGGGTTCCGTGCAATTTGGCACTCGTCAGCAAGGTGTACCTGTAGTCTTGGACGAATTCGATACCGTGTCACCCAGCTTCACAGTCAAAGACGTTAGCACCAGTCCATCCGGGACTAAGATATATTCACAATTGACTACCTAGATAATTGGCCACATTACAACTTGGTCGATAGCATTCGATCTGCAGTAAGAAGGACCTAACGTACATAACATTGACCATCACCCAGTGATCAATTAATTGTGAATTATCAGCTTATTTATTGTTTTGAGCGAGAAGTTTTCGAATTGGGGATGTTAGTAATTCCTTGTTTTTGTTTAATAAATAAATAGAATCTTAGTATGTAAATATTTTTCACTTTTCAATTTATAAAACGTTCTTTACAACTAGATTTAGGTAAGATGTTATCAAACTGAATTGACAAAAATACACTAAATCTACTTGGTTCAAATAAATAAGGTATCTATGAACATTGTGATCTATTCAACATACTTACTTACGCCTGTTACTCCAGTTGAAGCATAGGCCGCCGACTAGCATTCTCCAACCCACTCTGTCCTCGGCCTTCTTTTCTAGTTCTATCTAATTGTTGTTCATTCTTTTCATGTCTGTCTCCATTTCTCAGCGTAATATGTTCTTTGGTCTTCCTCTCCACCTTTGACCTTGAAGATTCCAAGTGAGATATTGCCTTGTGACGCAGTCCAGTGCTTTCCTCGATGTGCGTCCTATCCAGTTACAGCACTTCTTCCTGATTTCTTCCTCTGTTGGAATCTCGTTTGCTCTCTCCCACAGTAGGTTGTTTCTGGCCAACGAATCCGAAGTATTTTGCGTAGACAACTGTTAATAAACACTTGTATCTTCTGGATGATCTATTCAAGCAATGATCTTATTATTGAATTCTTTTATTGAAAATATAATGAAATATCATTTTTTTTCTATTTACAATGTAATTCGATTTATTTTTATTTTGGAATTTAATTCACAGATTCATTAAACGTTGTTTACAGAATAATTTTAAAGAGAAATTTGACCAATTGTTTTCTCATTTAACTACGAAAGAAGGTGAAGAAGTAAGCTTGAATTTACATTGGATTTTGGTTTTTAATTTCTTTCTCATTAAAATATTTACTTTCTAGAAATGGCATTTATGAATAGTTGGATTACTGACAGACATGAGCTAGACAGTTATTGAAAACTAGAGATAAATGGATAATTTTACGTCGTTTTTGAAACTTCAAAGAAGTTCACAAACAGTTCCTTTATAGATCAAGCCTTAAAAATTCACGTTGACAGATATGTAACACAACTTTAAGCAAATGTTCCAAGTATATTGTTGATTAATTCTGATAATAATCATCTGCTCACTAGTGACTGACTTCAAGAGGCATTTCCAGTGAGAAGCCGTTACCAGTGGAGTTCAACCAGGTCTGTTGTGAGATATCAACTCACTGATGACAATGGTGTACGGTGGCGCAATTATTGGACTGGTTGAAGTTAAATATTAACACCGTTGAATGCCGGCTCAGTGGTTTGGTTGGTTAAGGGCCTGGCGCCAGGCTGAAAGGTCCTAGGTTCGAGTCTCGCGGCGTGCGAGATTGTGGATGCGCACCGCTGAGGAGTCCCACACTAAAACGAAACGGCCGTCCAGTGCTTCTAGGTTCTCCATGGTGGTCTAGCTTCAATCGACTCATGATTTCAATCAGTGAAATGTCTAAAATCTCCACAAGACCCCTTTTGATAATTTGGTTTTGTATTGTTTGTTTGCTTATATTGTGAATCTTCATCGACTGAGATGGTTGGGCCATGGGTTACGTATGCCTTAACATCGATTACCACGACGCGCAATGCTGACTAGTGTTGGGGATCGTTAGAAGAAAGGGCAACCAAATTAAAACGTGGAATCACTGCTCGACGTCACTAAATTCTAGTCTGAGCCATGTTGGTAGATGCAGACTAGCGGGTCGGGGTCCACATGACTATCGTACCTAATGGTTGGAGAATCTTGATGACATGGCTCAGAATCGGTCACATTGGCGTAGGTGTATACACTTTCTGTTTTTCCTTAAACTAAGAGATTAAAATCGCTTCATATCTTTTTTTCTACTAACTAATTCTTTCTTCCTGTACTATGTCCTAACATGCGATCTTTCTTTTATATATTATCACCACTGAATTAAGTACTTCTATGAATTCGGTGTTCGTCTTGTCGTGCCAATAAGGTATGGTAACTTGAACCAATGCATATATGTGCCTGATCCTACGTTGTAGCTGACTGACTGACTGATTGTTAATTGAATAAATGTGTGAATCATGAGATTACAACTGATTGGTTGCATTATTTCATGATCATAGCATGATCTGGATAAGTAGAATGTGATCTGTGGTAAGGTTGTGGATGACCACTTCCTTGGTATAACTATCATGTTTTTTTTATAATATTTTCATGTATTTATTATCGATAATTTATTTTTATACATTTAGATCCGTGAAACACATTTGAGTAGTTATTTAATGTTTGGTGATTTTATGAATCCTGAATCAATGCCAGAAGATAGAGTCTATGAAGAAATTAAAGATATTCAAGCAATGTATCCTATTGTGGAACATTGTTTAGAAGATTACAACAATGCTAACAAAAAGAAAATGTCATTAGTCATATTTAGGTAGATTTAAATTTTATAAAAATCAAACATTTACCAAAAAAAAAACGATTTTATTGATTTTAGTGTAGGTTGTTGTGATAGATTGTGATTAAAAATAATCTCCAAGTAATCTGAAACTTATACATTTGCTTGGTATTGTTCTTCTTTTTATTAGAAAAGCATCATACCTTCCTAGATTTTTGAACAGACTTTATCACAGGTTATTCAAACAACAAAGAATCCTATGTAACTTCATGAAATACTATATTACGCCTTTGGGAAATGATTAGTTCTCCATGCTTTTTGGTTATCATTTCTGATTGATTCAACAATAGAAAATGTAAGCAAAGATGCATAGTGACTAGCATTGGAATCCGAACGCGCCTTTCGTCCCTTTTGGGACTCATCAGCTGAATGTACCTGCATCTCAGAGTTGATGTTCACTCCGGCACTGTATTCAGTACCGTTTGTTTCAAATGCCATCGCGTTATCCACTTAGCTACTGAGTCCTGATAACCACCAGAATGTGCAATCGTATGAAGTTTAAATCCACTTGGTGTTGTTTTACTTGTATCTTCCCATTGTTATTTAGAACTTCAACTGATCAGTCTCTTGTTGGTATATGTGCATCCTGCGCGAATTGCCTCGATGTAACCTTGAGTCTCAAGCTTTTTAAGCAAAAATTAATCGTGGCTAGCACTATCCGCACAAGATACACATATGCCAACAAGAGACTGATCAATTGCAGTTCTAAATAGCAATGGGAAGATACAAGTTAAACAACATCAAGTGAGTAGAAAATGTAGTAGTCAGAAACTATAAGGACTACATATAATAAAAGATAATAAGACCGATTAGTCTTCTAGAGCTAATTGATTTAGTTTATAATGATATAATCTGACATTTTTACGATCAACATTTGTCTTCAAATTTCCCCTAAATTTACATAGAATGAAGTCTGGAAATATGATGATGGATAAGCAACAGATGTTTTATTCAATATTCAATCTGTGGTTTTTATATTATCTCTTTACTAATACAATAAATTTCATCAATTTAGGGTTTAGCCGTAAACGTAGTTTTGCATAATGCGCTTCAGAATTTAACATAAACTGTTTTAAGCCCTATAATTCTTATTTATATTAATTTATTGTGGTAAATGAATTTTTCAACAGTATGGTTTCACTTTAAAAATATCGATTAAGTCTATTGGTTTTATCACCCTGTTGTTGAAATCGGCGAGACTATAATTTATGAACGACCTTTGAGCGTTACTAGACTGACTTTAAGAGTATCCACCTGATAATAATGACCAAATGAAGGTTATAACTTAGTGTGAGGAATTCAAATTATAATTTACAGTTGATGGTTAAAGTTAGGAATTAGATTTTTGGATTTTCATTACGAACTGACATCAGCTATAATGCCAAAACTCTATTTATCCAAATGGATGAGTGAATTTCGCGCTATCTTCGTGCTATCTTACAGCTGACTGGTTCGTCCATAAATTATAGTCTCGCCGTTATCTGTTGCAACTTCTATTATTACATGCCTACATGAAGTATTCTAAGCTTGTATAGAAAATCATAACTTTCTGAAACCTTATAATTGATCATATTAGTAATGCATTTGTAACTTTAACTGGCATTATTTGATAAAACGTAGAGTACAGTATAAGAAAGGAAAAAAGTGAATTCATCTGAATAAACAGTATGGTCTAATATTAAAATGGAATATTTCACAGGAAGATAAAGTATGAATGGATATGCATTTGTACGACTACTTTGGAGCCATATCATCTAAAGTCTTCAACAATTGAAGATAACTATGTTTTACGTGCCAACCATTGTCTCGTGTTTACGCATTTATTTATTTAATAATAGTCAATATTCTATACTTCAGTTTGTTTTTTAAGTCTTATCATTAAAGTTGTCAGTAGTTATGCAAATTTAGCAAATGTTCATTCCATTAAAATAGATATGTTCTGGAGCATTTATCAAGAATTTGTCGGATCCTTCGAGTTCCTGGCGGTCACGCATTACTAGTCGGTGTTGGTGGTTCTGGGCGTCAATCACTAACTAGATTAGCATCAGCAATGGCAGGTTATACAGTATTTCAACCTGAAATATCTAAAAATTATGGTAAAAATGAATGGCGTGAAGATATAAAGGTAAACTATGAAAAATGGACCAATTGTGTCCCATTGTTTTCACCTTAATACTTAATTTTATCATTGGGTTTTTAAACAAATGACGTACGGAGATTTTAAAGATGGATAGCTTTCATTAAGAACGAATACCAAATGCAAAAGTACTAATGAACAGTTATTTCAACGGAGTTTTGGAATTAGCAATGCACACCAATAATCTTATAAAAGATAGAACACAGAACATTTACGACTCGTGACGATCATACTATGTTCAGTCTACTGACTCAAGATTCACTAGTCTATATTTCTTTAATTTAATCGATAGCAACGCTAAAAGACATTATATTCGGGGAAAATTGATGCGAAGGCAATGTTGGTCAGTCTCTGTCCACACAGTTCTCATTTTAGTCACCAGGTCAAGTAGTTTGGGGTTTCAAAATATTTTGATTATTCATATTCACGACCTGGGATCACTAGATAAAAGATTAAAAGGGAATAACTGTTTGATAGTATTTACATGATCCAAGACAGGAAAAATCAAGTGACTTTTTTGGTATAGTTTCACTCACCTCACAGTGTATATTCTTTGATAAAAGGTTAAATTAATTTTTCACAACTGAATTAATCAATTTGTTTTCTAAAATTAGACTTTACTACGACGAGCTGGCGCAGAAGGTAAAAATACTGTCTTTCTAATGACTGATAGTCAAATCAAAGAAGAAACTTTCTTAGAAGATATAGATAGTTTACTCAATTCTGGTGAAGTTCCAAATCTTTATAGTTCTGAAGAAAAAGCTGAATTAATGGATATCATACAAAGTAGTCTTGCAGCATCAGGTGGACACAAATCACTTGATCTATCACCTTTAGCATTGTATGCTTTATTTGTGGATAGATGTCGAGAAAAATTGCATGTAGTTATGGCATTTTTCACCTATAGGAGAAGCATTTAGAAATCGTTTAAGACAATTCCCTGCTTTAATTAACTGCTGCACCATTGATGGTTTCAGGTTAGTTAATTTATATTTGTTTATCTAATATATTTTCTTGTTGGCTAATTATTTATCGTTGTTGTAGGGTAGTTAGTCAACATATAGTTGACTAGGTTGATATTGTTCATTTCAGTGATCTAGTAAGCCTGTGGTGAGACAGACTCATGAAATGACGGCACTTGTAAGCAAAGAAAATCTGTTTACCACAAACATCAACAGGTTAGAAAACAAAGAATCACATACGCTAATGCCACACGGAAAAAGAATAAAAGTGATAAGAACAAGTTGATAAAAGGAAATATTAAGTCAGTGGATCCACCCAATATGTCTGAAGTGGTTGGATGGAATATTTACGAATATTTACGAATAGTCGATAAGCACAGAGTTATTAATGAAACTACTTCATAATTAGACGGCTTCTACCATATTCTTGTGTTTTTCAGCTCTGATAGGTATTCTGATAAATCATTCAAAACTAGATTCTCTAAATAAAAATAATTCAAAACTATTTATCCTTTGAATTTGTATAGATCAGGTATTCACCCTTTTTAGGTTATGGGACATGAACATATTTTAGAACGTTCGACTATAATTGTATTCTCTGGACTTATGGCAGCATTCAACTCTTTTGATCATAAGGTTCTATGGGAGTGTCTATAATTGAATGGTGTAACAAAAACTACATCAACCTCGTACAGTTTCTCTATTCAAACACTACTAGTCGAGTCAGAGATTATGGCTAACTGTCATCAAGATTGGCAATGTCAAGTGGTGTTCGTCACGGTTGTTCGCTTTCTCCATTTTTATTTAAGTTAGTCCTTGACATCCTTTTAGACAAAAATCTCTGGTCGGCTGGCTTTTCATGGGTTGTTCTTTTATCAGGAGATTTGCTTGCTGATTTAGAATACCCAGATGATATAGTTATGTTTTGTGAAAATACTTATGGAATGCAGTGTTCTGACCAACTGAAGGAACAATGCAAGTATCTTTGGGATGCGATTCTTTTTTCTCCAAATTCAAAATAGTGCTTCATAACTAGCCAGTATCAGCCCTCAAATGAATAATAAGGAATGCAGTAGTTGAGCATATTGACTAATTTACTTATAATTAAAATAAACCATAGTGTCATTGAATAAGAAAAAGAGAATTCAGCGAAGAAAATTTTCTTTTCGACGAAATCATTTACTTAAGCTGTACATTCGTATATATAGTTATATGGAAAATGTATGTCTATAGAAGGATAGAAAGGGTTGTATCACAAAAAATGGATTCGACAATAAATAACAAATGAGGTTAACGTACTAATCAAGGGGTAAGGAAGAACAAAATTTAAGGGTCAGATAATAGTCCAATTGACAGATATGAAGAAAAACGACAAAACAACAAAGGTCACAATAATAGACTGAATAATAATCAAGGAAACTTGTAAAAGGTAATAATAATAAATGATTAGAGTTTAAAGTGCAAAATAGTAATAATAAAAGTGCATTAAAAAAAACAACACCTAGAAACATACCCATTAAGGGAATTAGGGCCAGGGTAGGATGAGAGGTTGGACAAATCGTTTCTGCACGCAAAGTTCAGGCTTTAGTTTGTGGATTGCCAATGCCTCTGCGGTGCATAAAATATTGATTTGAACCCCCTTCGATCCAGTTCCTTCCCCTTGCTCATGTGGGGCATGTTACATAGGCCGCACAAAGCGATCATAATCCAAACGCATCTCGGAACATTATCCGGCTTGGCTCTTGAAAGGGGAGCGAAAAACAATCACGAGTTCTATACAGGAGCACTTAATCAACTGTTGACATATCGCTCCAAAAGACTCCGTTTAAAATAGTTTGCAGAGTCAAAGGAACTGGATCGAAGGGGTTTCAAATCAATATTTTATGCACCGCAGAGGCATTGGCAATCCACAAACTAAAGCCTGAACTTTGCGTGCAGAAACGATTTGTCCAACCTCTCATCCTACCCTGGCCCTAATTCCCTTAATGGGTATGTTTCTAGGTGTTGTTTTTTTTAATGCACTTTTATTATTACTATTTTGCACTTTAAACTCTAATCATTTATTATTATTACCTTTTACAAGTTTTCTTGATTATTATTCAGTCTATTATTGTGACCTTTGTTGTTTTGTCGTTTTTCTTCATATCTGTCAATTGGACTATTATCTGACCCTTAAATTTTGTTCTTCCTTACCCTTGATTAGTACGCTAACCTCATTTGTTATTTATTGTCGAATCCATTTTTGTGATACAATCCTTTCTATCCTTCTATAGACATACATTTTCCATATAACTACATATACGAATGTACAGCTTAAGTAAATGATTTCGTCGAAAAGAAAATTTTCTTCGCTGATTTCTCTTTTTCTTATTTAATTTACTTATCTTGAGAGTCTAGTCAATCCTGATAGTCTGGCGTTTAACAAAATCTCAGCACAAGTTCAAGAAGCTTGATCAACTTTCTTTAAACTGCATCAATTGTGGAGTAGAACGAGTTTATTACTCAGTAGCCCACTCTTTCCCACTTTATAGTTGTGAAACATGATCACCAAATATAAGGGATATTTTCAGGTTACTGATATTCGATCATACATGTCTTCGAAGCATCGTTCGTGTATTTCAGGATCACCGAATAAGCAATGCCTGGGTTAGGGATGTAATATTAGTTAACGATGTTAATCAGTTGAAGAGATATTAAATCTTCATTAACTGAGGTTGTTGGTACTTGTGTTAAATATGCCTAACCACAGCCTACCGTGACGGGTGATGCTGTCTGGTGTGTGAGTAGGTTGGAAGAAAACTAGTAACTCCCAAACTAAAAAGGTGCCAATGACTTATGAAGCCAATAACAATTTGACTTAGCCATATTAACAGGTGTAAACTATCTGGTTGAGGTCTACGTGATTTTCGTAACCAATGGTTAGTGCTAATTTTCGAAATCATTTGTAATGGTTCAAAATTGTCCATTCTTTGTCCTCCTGTGGGGCCCTTTATTTTGTCGTCATACAGATCGAACGATGTTGTCGAAGGGCTCTCCACTTTAGTGGCCCGGGATCTGAATACAATTAGATCGCATGAATGATTGTTATTTCAATATATATGTCACCTATCCTCGTATATAATCATCGACTTTATTCGCGTTAGTCAATAACGGAATTAAATGAGTCAAATAACGAGAATGAAGTTTTGAATACATAAATTTTGTATGTGAAGCGAATGGAGTAGAGAGAAGAGAAACAACGCGCAGTGGAGATGGCGGGTAAGACAACTCCCATTTAACCAAGCGTTAATCAATATTTATAGTCACACAAAAATAAGTTACAGACATGTGATGAGTAATGGGATAAGAAGTGTACACACATCTACGCGCTCATATAAAAACAGTCAAGATTGATAAGCGAATAATTAACAAGGTCGGAATGTGACTCAAGTAGAATGAATAGAATGGGCTGTTCGAAAGCTGAAATAAGGTATATGTGCTTAACATAATAACAGTCACTACACCACCTTAGATCCTAAACTTCTAATCTTATAATCCTTCTATTTCATTAATTTTTATTTTCTTGAATCTCATTTTCAATGTCTATTCCATACCATAGCCACTAGTTCTTTTACTACCTTTAATACTCTGGGATTCGTTCTAACAATTTATCTCCCTGTGTTAACATGATATTGACAGCTTGAACTGGTGTACACATTTACCAGGTTCTACATTGTGTCGGTATAAAAAAGTCCGAAAACTTATTAATTTCAAAGTCTATCATTATGTAATTACAGTTTACGGTCAATTTAATAAACGAATGAACATACGTTTTCGCTTTTTTTTTTTATCAAATCATTTACTTTACTAGCCTTGGCCTGAAGATGGTCTAGTTCGAGTTGCCAATAAAGCACTTCAAAATTTAGATATGGAAAATGATATTCGTGAATCTACTGTACATTTATTCAAATATTTTCATACTTCAATTACACCATTAGCTGAGAAATTTTTAATGAATTTAGGTCGAAAAACTTATGTAACACCAACTTCATATTTAGAATTAATTGATAGTTTTCAAAGATTATTAACTCAAAAACAAAATGATACAATGAAAGCTAAAATGCGGTAAGTAATATGATTTCATTTACTACGTAATGGATTTCATATTTCAACAGTTGAGATCATGAGTCAATTGAGGCTAGACCACTACGGAAGTTCGACATTAACACCGTTGGATGTCAGCTGAGTGGTCTAGTTGGTTAGGCGCCTGGCGCGAGACCGGTAGGTCCTGGGTGCGAATCCCGCGAGGCGGGGTCGTGGACGTGCACTGCCGAGGAGTCCCACAGTAGGACGGAACGACCGTCCACTTCCACGTTTTCCATGGTGGTCTAGCTTCAATTGACTCATGATCTCAACTGTTGAAATTACTACAATCTCCATAAAACACCGTCGGATTTCATATTCTTGATATTCCTAACTAATCTCTAGTAATGTAATCTCTTTAAATAGATGCTTCAATTCGGACTACTTTTACATATTATGGATAACAACAAAATCCATAAAACACAGCTTATTCATTAGGCTTTTTTATAAATCTATTTATCTTGGTTTATCCAGTGAGTCAATAACAACGTAGAACTTCGTACGTACGTACATAAGTTCGAGTTGCCACACCACATTAGCACAAAGATGCAGTGGTCGATTCAAATCCCGTAGTGCTATATGTAGTAAAATTATAAGCTGTAATCAGGAAGATTAGGGTTTGAAGATGTTATTCAAGGAGTATAACCCAGTGAAATAAATTTGGAAAGAAAAGAGGTAGGGACATGAAGAATTCAGAAGATTAGAATTTGGGAGAACACAAAGAGTGGATGCACCTACATCATTGCAAACGATTTTGAGCCATGTCATTCAAGGTCTCTAACCATCGGTTGCTATGATCTCGCGGTCCACAACCACGTAGTCTACACCTACCAATATGACCCAGCCTACTTGTCAGTGACTTCATTGACTTATGCCATGTTTTGATCTGGCCGCCCCAGCTTTCTTCCAATCAGCTCCTATACAACAAAACATCGCTCATCGAGGCATTCCGTTGTTGGGCATACGTAACACGTGACCCAGCAATCTCAACTGATGAAGTTTCATTACTTCATCAATTGATTTGCCGTTTTCTTCTAGTACTCGTTTCTTAACAGCTGCATTACTTACTCGGTGTTTCAGGATATACGAGCAATACTTCGAGGACACCTATGATCGAATACTAGTAACCTACGAATATCCTCAACTTTTACCAGTCCCAACGTTAGACCCAAATAGATCACATCGCTATCAGCCACCAATGGATTGGCTCCATAGAAGACTGTCGCTCATTCTGGAGCACATGCTTAGATTCAGATCATGCTCTAGTGCGAGCGCGTATTTGCCTGCGTCTTACTGGACGTAGGAAAGACGCTGCAAGGAAACCTCTTAGGGTCCCACTTAATGATAGTCAAGCTAAGAGTATATTTCAGGAACAACTAGAAAAACAGCTAGGCAGCCATGTATGTGATGCCCACCCGAAGCAGCATGGAATGATATCCGAAAAGCTGTGGAAACAGCAGTGATATCTGCTTGTAAGGTAAACCACAAGGTTAGGGAGAAACACTGGATCTCAGCAGCATCTATCGCACTGATAGATGCTCGGAAACTCATTCCACCTGGCTCTGAACATATTGAAGAGCGGAGTCAGCTTAAGCGCAAGCTGACAAGAAGTCTACGCAATGATCGTGAACAGTGGTGGGTAGCGAAAGCAAGAGAGATGGAAAAGGCAGCGGCAATAGGTAATAGCAGACAATTGTTCAAACTTGTTAAGGAAACCAGTATTAGGAAACCGACTGTTAGCGAAACACTCTCAGAGAATGATGGACATATTATACATTCTCAATCCAGAAGATTAGATCGATGGGCAGAACACTTTAGGGATCAGTTCAACTGGACTTCAGCCACACTTCGATTTCCCACGATCTCCAGTCAACCTGAATGGCCAGTTGATGTAGGTCCTCCGTCTCTTTACGAAGTTGAAAAAGCTATAGGAAATCTGAAGCGAGGGAGAGCAGCAGGCCCTGACAGGTTTACTCCTGAGATTTTTAAGGATGGTGGTCCAGTATTAGCAGTGAGATTAACTGAGGTCTTAGGTAGAATTTGGGAACTGGACGTAATCCCATCTGACTGGTCTCAATCACTGATTGTGCCAGTCTATAAGAAAGGACAAAAGTCCTCTTGTGACAATCACAGAGGAATCAGTTTGACCAATATGGTGTCTAAAATATTAGCTTCAATAATACTTCGACGCCTAATCAAAGCTCGTGAAGAGCAGATTAGAGAAAACCAGGCTGGTTTTCGACCTGGACGTGGTTGTATAGATCAGATATTCACAGTACGTCAGGTTCTAGAACACAGACACACATTCAGACGCCCCACAATCGTAGTATTTCTCGACCTAAGGCGACATCCGACTCTGTTGATCTTAAGGTTTTTGTGGCTCGAGGATCTAACTCCTATTTAGATCGTACGAATATTTGTTATCGCCTATTCTCGTATATAATCGTCGACTTAAATCGCGTTAGTCAATAACGGAATTAAATAAGTCGAATAACGAGAACAGACTTGAGAATACATGTATTTTGTATATGAAGCGAACGAAACAGAGTAGAGCAAAATGACACGCAAGGAAGATGGCTGGGAAGCCAACTCCATTTTAGTCAAGCGTTACTCAATATTTATAGTCAGACAAAATAAAGCCACAGACATGTGATTAATGGAATAAGAAGGACACACACATATACGCTCATATAAAAACAGTCTAGATTGATAAGCGAATAAATAACAAGGTCAAAGTATGGCTCGAGTAGAATGAATAAAATGGGATGTCCGAAAGCTAGAATAAGGTATATGGGCTTAAAATAATAACTGACAATACAAGGTACTATGGCAGTGTTTGCCACTGAAAGGAGTACCAAAGAAGTACATTAACCTTATAAAGGCTCTCTACTCGAACACAACTGGTAGAGTGAGAGCTTATGGCGAACTGTTATCAGAATTGATTACCTCAAGTGGTGTTCGTCAGGGCTGTACACTCTCTCCATTCTTGTTCAACTTTGTGGTCGACGTACTTTTAGAGATAACACTTTCCTCATCTAAATTTACAGGGGTTGAACTTCTACCGGGAGGTTCAATTTTTGACCTAGAATATGCTGATGACATAGTTTTATTTGGTGAAGACGCTGACAAAATGCAGAGTCTTCTGACCACTCTAAGCAACAATGCAAGCATGTTCGGGATGCGATTCTTCCCCTCGAAATGCAAAATGTTGCTTCAGGATTGGGTTGCATCAACGCCCAAACTAATGATAGGGAGTGAAGTAATTGAGCGTGTCGATCGCTTCACTTATCTCGGGAGTCTCATCAGCCCTTGTGGTTTAGTGTGTGACGAAATCTCAGCACGGATACAGAAGGCTCGACTAGCTTTTGCCAACTTGCGTCATTTATGGCGTAGGTGAGATATCCGTCTACCAACCAAAGGACGGGTTTACTGCGCAGCAGTTCGTTCCGTCCTACTTTATGGCAGTGAAACATGGCCGGTAAGAGTAGAGGATATCCGTAGGTTACTAGTATTTGATCATAGGTGTCTTCGAAATATTGCTCGTATATCCTGGGACTATCGAGTAAGTAATGCAGTTGTTAGGAAACGGGTACTAGGTAAGGATGGCATATAAATTGATGACGTAGTGAAACTTCATCAGTTGAGATTGCTGGGTCACGTGTTACGTATGCCCAACAACGGAATGCCTCGATGTGCGATGTTTTGTGGTATAGGAGTCGGTTGGAAGAAAGCTAGGGGCGGCCAGATCAAAACATGGCACAAGTCCATGAAGTCACTGACAAGTGGGCTGAGTCATGTTGGTAGGTGTAGACTACGTGGTTGGGGACCGCGAGATGATAGCAACCGATGGTTAGAGACCTTGAATGACATGGCTCAAAATCGTTTGCAATGATGTAGGTGCATCCACTCTTTGTGTTCTCCCAAATTCTAATCTTCTGAATTCTTCATGTCCCTACCTCTTTTCTTTCCAAATTTATTTCACTGGGTTATACTCCTTGAATAACATCTTCAAACCCTAATCTTCCTGATTACAGCTTATACTTTTACTACCTCTACCACTACGGGATTTGAATCGACCACTGCATCTTTGTGCTAATGTGGTGTGGCAACTCGAACTGATGTACGTACGTACGAAGTTCTACGTTGTTACTGACTGACTGACTGTTTCACTACCATAAGGTAGGACGGAAAGAACTGCTGCGCCGTAAACCCGTCCTCGGTTTATCAAGTCCATCTTGAAGAAAGACCTATTAACTTATCTACTTTTTCTTTTTAAATCTCGAACATTGATTTATTATCTATTACTAATCCGGTGTTTTAAAATATCTAACCGTTCAGGTACTTCCTAGCCGTTTCAGATGTTGAATTCACTTTTTGTTGCAAAGCCGTCCAATTTCTTTTTATTAACCTCATAATAGTCTCCTGACTTTTTACTCTGTCTTACATAAATACCTTAGTGATCCTCAAAGATAAAGTACGTTTAATTGAACAATTATGTTCAATAACTTCACCATCAAGCTGTCAACTTTAATCCATAATTATTGTATTACAATGACTAAAATAAAGTACACAAAAATAAATAAGTTAGATAACGTTATATTATTGATAAAGTGAACTTTCACATCAGTTACAACTTAAATATGTCCAAAAAGTGTCATCCGCAAGTTATGAGGGTCATCTTGTTGTGCATGCTGCTGATGTCAACAGACATAAGTAGTATTTAACACCAATCAGAAATGAAATGCATGGCAGCAAAAAGTTGAGAAGATCGAATCGAAGGAAACAAAAAGGGGAATAAGAAGGAATTGTGAATTTGGAGAATCACATATAATGTGAAGAACAATTGATGAAAGATTTCCAAAGAGAATATTAATTCCAACACCAGTACGATACCCAATCCAGTTGAGTAAATTAGCTTCATCCAGTCTTTTATCATCGTTACTCATTTTCTTTATTCCTGTTTTACATATGTCGGTTGGATAATTATCTCTGATATATACTAATTTCGTCTCACTATTTTCCTTTGAATGTAAGACTATTACACAATCTTTGTGATACTCTAAACTTTTAAACACCCTATAATCGAATCTCTAATCGATTTTTCAATAAACTACTATATACCTTAATTAACTATGGACAAGATTTAACTGGTCTATATAAATCAACCAAGAGAAAATCATAGTGTTTGCTTGTAAATCACGCTTCAATACACAAAAATATGGACAGTTTTATAAGATCTAGTGATTAACAATAACGTAAAAAGAAAACAGAAGAGGTTGTTTCGTCTCATTTTCTCCATCCAATTACAACTTTGTTACGTCTTGACAGATAAAACCAAACTACTTCTTTTAAAACACTGTCATCAAACCTACCATTGAATCTAAAACTTAATACGTCGTTACTCAGTATGATTCAGTTAATTATTTACCTTTTTCCTCTAAGATTGTTCATGTTTAAGAACCATTCCGTTCTTCCATAACAGTTTATATCATGTTAGACTTCACCTAAACTTTACATAACAAATCCATAACTATATCATAAAATCATGAATGGTTATGTTCTAGTTACAATATTACTACATCCAAAATATTTCTCAATATAGAAATGGTTATAGAGAAATTACTAGCTGTTAGGCTTATTAACAATCTGGTCACGTTGTTTTGTGAGTTTGAATATCAGATAGTAAGTATATCAGCTCAGAATTAAATACATTCTTAAGAGATTAATCAACAGAGTTACGCTAGTATAATTATAACTTACGAATGAAGTATAAAAATCACTGTTTTATACTCATATTAATTAGTTGAACAATTGGACACTTTGATGGAGTTTTGTTCTCTGAGCTGGATGATGTCGTTCAGAAGAACGATGAAAGCTTCACGACCAAACCATCCAGCTCAGAGAGCAAAACTCCATCAAAATCATCAACCCGTGCTGCAAATCTTCTCCACTTGGACATTTTTCAATCAACTTACAAAGTAATAGTGTAATCTAGACAGACTACCTACTTTCATGACCAAATGTTGGTTTTTTTAATAAATCATCAGTCGCAAATGTACTTTTGTTGACTTTTTCCCTGTTAATTATCACGTGATAAGACCGCCAATCAGGGCAGAACCTATACAGTTTTAGCACTGTGCCAAACCAATGACGTTTTAACCGGTACGAACAGCCTAGAGTCCTTATTAGTCCTTCTCATCTAGTCCTGACTATTGAGTACAGAACACCTATATCAGCTCCCACTGTATAAATAATATATTTCAGACATACTTGGCTTATATACAAACAAACCATACCAAAAAATAGAAAATAACAATTATACGAGATCAAGCCAAAATATGGCCGTGATTGTGAGAGAATGTAACTAATAAATTGGGAATAAGTTAAAATAGTAAATCGTAAAATAATAGTCAATAGGTCAACTGAAAGCCTATAATAAAAGGAATATGAATATACATATAATATAGTTACTTAATAGTTATCCGATAGAGATATATGTGATAATAGTCCATAAATAATTCCTAGCAGTTGCTATGCATTTATTGTTCGTTAGGATATAACACTTTTGTAATGATTCAATATAGATAATAATCTAAATGGTTTTGATTTTGATATTTATAATTATTTTTATAACTATAATTTAGCTATGTCAACGGCCTAGATAAATTAGCGTTCGCTGCAGAACAAGTAGCTGATATGCAAATCAAATTAGAAGAACTTCAACCTCAACTTGTATTAGCCAGTGAAGAGAATGAAAAACTGTTAACTGTTATAGCTACTGAATCAGTGACAGTTGAAGAACAGCGTGTTAAAGTAAAAGCTGAAGAAGAAATTGTCAATCAAAAAGCTGATGCTTCTAAAGCATTAAGTGATGAATGTCGAGCTGATTTAGCTGAAGCACAACCTGCATTAGAAGCGGCTCTTTCTGCATTAGACACACTTAAACCATCTGATATTACAATAGTGAAATCAATGCAAAATCCTCCACCTGGTGTCAAACTTGTCATGGAAGGTGTTTGTGTTATGCGTGATATTAAACCAGATAAAGTAAATGATCCATCAGGAACAGGTAAAAAGATTAATGATTATTGGGGACCATCAAAGAAATTACTTGGTGATTTGAATTTTTTAAATCTATTGAAGGAGTATGACAAAGATAATATCAACCCAGCGGTAAGATATGAAAACATTTAGGATTCATGTGATTGTTCTAAGTGGATATGTCGACGAGACTATAATTTATGAACAAACCAATCAGATATAAGATAACAGGTCTTGGATTTTGGTGCGAAATTCACTTATCCATTTGGGTGAAAAGAGGTTTGGCATTATATTTGATGTCAGTTCGTGATGAAAACCCTAGATCTAATTCCTAACCTTAACTATCCACTGCTAAACACAATTCTAATTCCTTAAACTGGTTCATAACCCTCAATTGGTCCTTGTTATTAGGTGGACACTTTCAAGGTCACTCTAGCGCCGCTCAAAGGTCGTCCATAAATTGTAGTCTCATCGATATATCATTGATGATTAAATAAAATATTGAACTAATAATGTATGTGGTTACATGAATTAGATTTGATCCTTATCATATAAAGTATGATCTCATCTTAAACATACTCAGTAGCATGTATATCTAACCACAGGTTGCCTCATATTCTAATTTTGAAATTGCTATGTCCATAAATTTTCCAAGTCATGGTAAGTGTTTATGTTATCATATTGATCCCTTTCGAACTGATAAAGAATTGTGAGATTCTATGTTTTGGATTCCATCTCAACTAGTTATTTTGACCATTTATTACTTTCAATTCAGAACTTACGGAGTTTCTGTTATCTATGTTGATTCAAAGACCTTTACAATATTAAACATAATTTGATTTAACTTTAGTTGTTTGATGTTAGTTCACGTTTGAGGAGTTGAGGTTTGTTTACAAATCCGTTTCAAAATCTGCATATGTTTTCTATTTTGATCTAACGATATTCTTATTAGTAGTCAGGTTTATTCCTGAACTTCTACTTTTTACAAGGGCTTGAGAATAACATTATTTGTTGTATTTAATATTTCCCTAGATCATGCAACGTATACGAAAAGATTTCATGACAAATCCTGAATTCGACCCAACCAAAGTAGCTCGTGCTAGTTCAGCTGCTGAAGGTTTATGCAAGTGGATATTAGCTATGGAACAGTATGATCGTGTAGCTAAAATTGTAGCACCAAAGCGTATTAAATTAGCTGAAGCTGAAGCAGAATTAACAGAGAATATGGCATGTTTAAAAAAGACACAAGATGCATTAGCTGAAGTTGAAGCTAAATTAGAAAATTTACAAAATCAACTTAAATCTACACAAACGAGAAAAAACGCCTGGAAGATGACGTATCAAATTGTGCAACTAAATTAGAAAGAGCTACAAAATTGATAGGTGGCTTAGGTGGTGAAAAAGACCGTTGGCGTCAAGCAGCTGAATATCTTGAAAAATTATATGATAATCTTATTGGTGATGTGCTGATATCAGCTGGAATAATTGCTTATTTGGGACCATTTACATCGACTTACAGAGAAGAATGTATTTCAAATTGGATTATTCAATGTAAACAACAAAATATCACTTGTTCTGAACCTTTTTCATTAACTCAATGTCTTGGTGATCCGGTAAAAATTCAACAATGGAATATCGATGGTTTGCCACGTGATGCTTTTTCAATAGACAATAGTGTTATTGTAGCAAATGCTAGAAGATGGTAGGTTGTTTTCAATTTTCTGTAAACTGCTAAACATACAATTATTTTTGTTTTTAAGTACAAATTCTTTCAGAAGACAGCAAAAGAAATCAACTTGATCATAGTAGGTCCATTAATCAGTAAGTGACCAAATTCCAAAGTTTGTTAAAACACACTGGTAGTTGCTTTACTTACTTACGCCTGTTATCCCTCGTTCGGGAGCATAGGCCACCCACCGTCCTTTACCGGTATATTTAGAAAATCATTACTAAATACTTTTGGACATTGGTTTTACCATCTAATTTCCCCCTTCTAAAATTTTTCAAAAAAACTGTTTTCTTATGGAGCCTTCAATCTTTTACTTTCAGATAACTGTAAGTGTAATACACTCATAAGATTTCTATGGGATGGAGAAATGTACTGTCAAAAAGTGTATTTCATAGTAATACGTTATGTGCCAATAGGACAATTTAACTGATTCTAACGATCTATAGTTATTAAATATAACGGAAGACAGTTAGAATACAGCCGATGGGAGATCATAGTTACACTAATGTTTCGTTATGACTACAATAATTTCGAGATTGAATCCATATATAAATGAGAAAAGTAAAACAAGTTAAATTAGTATATAAAGTCTATTATGAACTGACTGTTCAGTTCCAAATGGCATGTTAAAATACTTTTAGCCACAGACAATGTGGAACGCAACATGTATGCATATTTAACCACAAAATAGTATGACATATCACTAAAAAGGGACAAGAAACTAACAAAATAAGCATAAATGAAGAGAGAATGATGTTAATTGCACTATGAATTTTAATTTAGAAAATACAAAAGGAAACTTTTTTTAATCTCAAACAGTACAGTTGAAGGTTATATTAAAGGTAGATACTTCAAAAGTGTGAAGTGCATGCTTTTGTGTCACTGTAATCTATTTGGAATAATGTCACTTAAGATCTCCAACTATTGATTACAATTCTCACACGGACAGAGGCCAAGGAGTTCAAGTGCGAAATTAAAAAGCATTCATAAGATGGATACGGGATTGACATAAGTAAATGTTTATACTATCTAAATAAAGCCAGAACAAACATGAATGCAGAATTCACTTGGTATTGTTCTACTTGAATCTTCCCATTGATGTTTAGGACTGAAATTGATCAGTCTCTTATGGGCATATGTGCATATTGTACGTATTACCTCGATATTACCTTAATTTACAAGCATTATAACCAAAGATGGATAGAGGCTAGCAGTGGAATCCAGTTTGACGCGCGTTTCGTCCTATTTGTGACTCGTCAGCTGGATGTACCTGCATCTCAGAGTTGATGTTCGCTCTGGGACTCGAACCCAGAGTAATATGAAATCATTATATTTCATAGTTTCTTATCAGCTGCTTGCAACCAAATATGTATTATGTTTACTTTGAGGTAAGATATAGTGTGAAACATTTGACATAGTTGAATGAAAAGAATTGGATTGACAAAGGTTATCAAATATATATAGGTCGGATGTCCTTTAGTGTTAGAATAAAAAAAACATGAGGGGTTGGTGATGCAATAATTAACTGAGGTTCAAAGATAGATAAGATAAATTGTGTGATCATTTTAGAGGTAATGAAGGGTTTACACAAGAGTCCTGAAAAAAAGCTGACAAGATGGGTTGCGTAATGATTGAACAAGATTAGAAGAATTTACATAAATTCTGAAAATTAATTGAGTAGAAATGTATGAGTGAAGGAGTGGTCTTAATATACGTAAAATAAGAATTCCATAAGGAAAGACCACATAACAAAATAAACACTAATAGAACAAAACTAATGACTAAAAAATGATTTACCAGGGTAGTAATAAGTTACATAAATCAGGTTTTAGTTATTTTATTCTCGATTGCTTCAACAAACCGAAGAGAAGTTGTGTTTCCTTGTCTTCTAATAATTTTGAAGGCTTGGGGAATGTCAATGATAGACCCGGTGTCAAATAAATGACGAGCTATTACGTTGCTAAGAGCCATTAAGCATCGCAGCCTCAAGTTCTTTGAAACATGTTTGGATATGCAAACATGTACTCTTCTCTCGCTTCTTCCAATGTATTTGCTTTGGTACGCATATATAAATTGGTAAATGAACTCTTATACTATCTAACAGAGATATGCAATGACAGTATTGTGGCTTAGTTTAAACTTAGAAGCCTAATACTCTACTTCTAGCCATATTTTTTGCTTTCCTCGAGCTGTTCTCCATTGTGTTTAGTTGAATAGATGAATCGTAATTTCTCTCTCTTTTAGTCAATTGTTCGAAGTATGATATATAACTAAACAAGTACAATATTCACGTACTATCAGTTAAGAAAGGATAATGTTATCGATTTTCTTCCTTACAAGGATAGAGATGTAGGAATAAGATGACTAGCTCCATAAATTCATCTAATATGGTATATAAACTTGAAAACATGAGGCCGGTAACTGATTTATTGAAAATAAATATTATCATCAATATTTGTTAAAGATTATTAGGTTGTAACCAAACCTAACGTAACCTTTTTTTAGATAAGTAGTATGAAACGGATAAGTATTTTATGACGTGTTGTTTTCTTTTTTCAAATGTTTAATCACAAGGCCACTGATGATTGATCCACAAGGTCAAGCTAATAAATGGATAAAGAATATGGAAAAAGATACAGGAATCACTGTTGTCAAATTAACAGATAATGATTTCATTAGAAATTTAGAAAATGGTATTCAATTCGGTACACCAATACTTTTGGAAAATGTCGGTGAAGATTTAGATCCAAGTTTGGAACCTCTATTACTAAAACAAACATTTAAACAAGGTGATCTATTTACTTGTTTTTGTATGAAGATGTACAACTATGTTTTCTAATGATTGTTAAGAATAATTAAGTCTTTGGATGATGTTATTAACTTAAACCGATTAATGCAATATTGAGAACCACATAAATGGTAATTGATTTTCATCTAAGCCTGTCAATTCTTCTGTAGAGTGCATTTTATACAATTGGAGAGTGCAAACGTTGAGGTTTAAAATCTTACACTAAGCTTATGATCATTTAATTCCTAGGTTGGTATGAAGTATTTATCATTTCTGAAAAGTTTTTAGCAAATACAAAGAATTTCAACACCTAAATGTTTTTTGGTAGTACTTAAACTAACAGTTAATCAGTCATGTACAACGTAGAATCTGGTACATATGCGTAACAGTTCAAGTTACCAGATCATATTGGTGCATAAATATTAAACTGACAAGACAATCATGACAATAGTAATAGTATCGGTAATGGTATAAAACATATAGCATAGGAAAAATGATTCTGTTATTAGTATGAGATATTTATGCTAATCAAATTTATAGTGTTCGTAATGTATAAAACCAAGAACTCACCATTACTTTTGTTTTAATGTAAAGACCAGCGTTTAATATTGGATTGGAGGATGACATATATCGTCCAAAGATATTCAAGAATGAATTTCCGAACTAATCTCTAAAATGTACCTAATTTTACATTTTGGTTGAGGTTAGATAAAGTTGGATGCCGACTGGTTCAGTTGTCTAGAGTTTAAGCGTCCGCGCGCTATGCCAAAGGTCCTGGGTTCTAGTCCCGAGAGTGGGATTATGGATGTGCACTGCTGAAGGGCGCCATCCCGAAACGAAACGGCCGTTCAGTGCTTCCAGCTTTTCATGGTAGTCTACCTTTAATCGACTCATGAATTCAACTATTAAATTACTATAATAAAGGTCTAACATTTATTTATACGTCTTAAGACGCAAAAAATCAATATGTTGAAAATACAGTTCTTGAAAAAAAACTTTAAAGTATAAATTCGACTCAGAGTAGTCCTTCAGTCTATTTGTGCATAAGTTAACTTCAACAGCAGAGGTATCCTGTAGTCAATATTTCAATAATCTAATTCATTTCATGCGAGATGTGCTTTGAAAACAACCTAAGCTGCTTGCTAACTGACTTTATTCAATACGAACTGCATTTGACTTCACATTAGTACGAAAAACTAAGAATATGATAAAACAGTTTTGATTTTTTGTTGTTGTAATAATCATTATTATCATAATGTTTTTCTGTTCTATTTTAAAGGTGGTGTGGATATGATACGTTTAGGTGAAAATATCATTGAGTATTCAAAAGATTTTCGTTTGTACATCACAACTAAACTAAGAAATCCACATTATTTACCAGAAATTGCTGTGAAAGTTTCATTATTAAACTTTATGATTACGTTAGAAGGTTTAGAAGATCAGTTACTGGGTATTGTTGTCGCTAAAGAAAAGTAAATTGTATTTTTTAAATAAATAAATAGTTAAGATTTTTTTATTATTTGCATTTTGTTGTGGCATGAGACCCTTCAACAATACACATCCACGACCCTGAATCTGGTTATAGAACCCAGGATCTTTAGTCTCGTTTACAAATGTTTGACAGTTGAATGTCAGATTGTTGCTTTAGAGTTCAAGCGTTTGCTCACGATTAAAGATATCAGCCAGGTGGTTTGTTAGATAATATCACAAATTTCAATAGTTATGAAAACAATTTTAAATGCTTAGCAAAACAAATTCACTTGGCGTTGGTTGCTTGTATCTTCCCATTGTGATTTAGGACTGCAGTCGATCAGTCTCTTATTGGCATATGTGTATCCTGTGTGGATTGCCTCGATATTGCTTTCAGTCACAAACATTACAAACAAAGATGGATAGCGGCTAACAGTGGGATCCAAGATTCGTCCTATTCAAAACTGGTCAGCTAGATGTACCTGCATCCCAGAGTTGATGTTCACTCTTGGACTTGACCCCTATTACCGTTCACTTCAGACGCCATCGCGTTATCCACTTAGCTATTGAGTCCTGATTGCCACTCACTTAGAAAACCAGTTTGAAGATGGCGTAAATAAGGTGATAAATCTTCACAGATATTAGTTAATAAATTCATAAAAGATGACAAAATATTTAACAGGTAGTCAAATATAAATAAAAGTTACAGAAGAAACAATCTAGATATGTAGTTGTAAAATTAATATTCAGATTTATGAAGCATTTGATTAGATGTTCAATATTGGTGGTAACAGTTGGAATATGTAGTTTAAAGGTATCATTACCAAGGTTTGATTTGATAATTTCAACTAACTTGAGCATTGAACAAGTTGATGTCAGACCTGTTTTTGATTGATCCAATATTATTCTTGCATTGTTTCGTTGTACTATTTAAACTTGGACTAATTTTAATTTGGTTATTTATTCTCTGAAGAAGTGGCTTACACTAAGTAACGAAAAAAATTTTGGTAATTTTTTTTTATATGTAGTTTAAAGTTTGATAATCATAGAAATAAATAAGAATATAGAGGAAAATATCAAAACTATATAAGAACACCAAAATGAATGAAAATTTGTTATTGTAAACAGACCTACTCTTGTATGACCTATATATATCGATTACCAAGACAACTGTTTTTCATCTAGAAGCTTAATGCATCATACAATCAGCTCACAAAAAATGCAAACCCTCAATGATTTGCTCTATAAAATCAAACTGACCATTTTAGTCCCTACTTACTTACTTAAGCTTTTTACCCTATCGTAGAGGAATATAGGCCGCCCACAATTTATTCCTTAGACTGTTTCATTTACCTTCAGATGCAAAAATGTTTCATCCATCATACCAAAACACGTAATAATGATACATACATCAAGTCATAAATAACACATTTTATCATTTCCATTTATTCTATTCTAAGATTATATTTTGTATACTAATAAGGATTCTATGCTTGTTAAACTGTTGTTATGGAATGTATGTAATCATGCTGTATTATGAAATCATTCACTTATCCCAATACATATTTCACTTTAATAAAAGGTTTATCCTAAATGTTCAGTATGAGGTAATCTAGTAATCACGTCCTTTTCGAGGGTATACACTTATTATTATTATTATTATTATTATTATTATTATTATCAATTATCGATCGATTTCATTCAATGTAATTAAGTCTGTACTCAATTTCATAGTATATTATACATTTAACCAAACAGTATAGACGTTTTACTACTTTAAAAATAATAAATGTTCATTATAGACCGGAACTTGAAGAAGCTCGTCAAGAATTAATAATAACAACAGCAAATAATAAACGTATGCTTAAAGAAACTGAAGACAAGATATTAGCTACTTTATCAGAATCTGAAGGGAATATTTTGGAGAATGAAGCTGCTATTGAAATACTTGATTCATCTAAATTAATTTCAGATGATATTTTCAAAAAGCAAAAAGTAAATCAAACATAATTATACACATTATTACTACTTATAACTAGTATGAATGTAGCGTCAGTAAATAATCATAAACTGTATTGTACCGTAGTAATAACGTAATGTTCTTATTTAATTAAGGCTTTGTGAATATTTTTACAGGTTAACACTTCTGTATCAGAGTAATATCAGTAGGAGAACAGTAAGATACTTATAATTATTGAACAACTATTTTCACCTATCATGGAGCGCTTTAACATTATAGACTTACCACACTACAATGCACGAAAACTGAACTACTTGAATGCAAATCAGTGGTCGAAGATATGTGATTTTTTTTCCCAACAGATTGTAACGTTTATGGTTGATCGATGAGAATTTCCCAGAGTTCTAATGATATTCTGTTTAATGTTAATTTGTGACGAAGCATATCTTCAAAATGATGTCATATTAGTAGCTTATACGTAACAAATTTTCAAACCATGAAAGCAGGAAATCCTCAAAATTATATCATTTGAATTACACTCGGCAAAATCAGTGTTTTAAACTTTTTTCAAATGGATGACTATTATGTCACTGTTACTTTTCAATTGACGAATGAAGATGAAATTCTTTATCCAGAATCCGCTTACAAATTGGATAAAATCGATTTCAAACTACGCTTACTTGTAAAATACACACTTTTTTAGATCTGCAGCCACGTTACGCATTGAGAACCAGTTAAAGATACCAAATCGGTTTCTGAGGTTTTAAATCTGCCGGTTTCGATGGTGAGGATATGTAACACACATCCTTCCTGGACGGACGATGTTTCCGGGTGTGCGATAAGGTTGAAAGAAAGTTGGGCAGGGTTAAACCGAAACATTGGACTGGTCAATAAACCCAGACTACTTGGATGGGGTAAGCGTGATGACCGCGACTAGTGAGTGGAAGGACCGGCTAACATGACTCAAAACCGATTACACCGACGTATTTGCAATAATTACTAATCCGTTTCTAAATCACAAGTTCGTTTATTTCCTCAAACACGTTTTTGTTCACGCTTTTGTATCATATTTCGATTGTTCACTCTTTCTTAACTTCATCTTATCGCACTATTGTGGTCTGGTAACTTAAGTCAGTGCACTTTTGTACCAGGCTTTATGTTGGTTATGACTGATTGACTGGAGAGCATAAATGACACTACTTAAGACAAGAATGGCTATATACTATGTTACTATGTACATTAGTCATTCTCTTTTTCTTTTAACTAATAGGTTGCTGAAGAAACCCAAAAGAAGATTGACAGTGCGAGAATGGATTATTCATCAATTGCTAAACATTCTGCTGTACTCTTCTTTTCATTAACAGATCTACCTAACATTGATCCAATGTATCAATACTCATTAGCATGGTTTGTAAATCTCTACGTTAATTCAATTCATGATAGGTAAGTGTAGAACAATAACATTGTGCTCAGTAAATATTGCCTTTCTGAAATGCAAAGATATGGACTTTAACGTGAACTAGATGGAAGAACTGGTTTGTCATAATTTATCGCGATATCATATCAGTTGATAGCACTGGTTTTTCTTACCGTCATCATGAAACCTATGAACTTCATAACATGTAAAAAGAATACCTTTTCACTAGCGTTACTTTGATATTGAAGCCCATTTTACGTAGAATTACTATTATGATTTGATTCGATTAGGGTTTTGTCGTCCCAAACAAATGTTTGGCATATTAATCATTCTAGGTCTGAAGATAAGTATATATAAATGTGAGTGACACCAGTCGTTACTCAAATCATGTTTCACATTGTGGACATTTAATTGGCACATTTCAGTTTGAGAAAAATCCATAAATTAGTAGCACATATCAGCAGTTTCGTACTTGTATATGACTTTTCAGCATTATGTAGGTGTGACTGCACAAGGTACGAAATTATAACGTATCATCGGCAATGGACATCAGCTGTATTGGTGATCTAGGTGATGATAGATTTTGTTAAATATAGACTCGAACTATATCAACCACTGTACAAAACCCCTAAAAATCTATGGAATAGCCTAATTCTATTTATTTAGGTTATATTACACTACTGTCATTAATGTCATTTAGGCGTTAATAAACTGCTAAATAGGTGTAAAAGTTAAGACAATAAGGATATCTGGTGATTAAATACTTCTACAAATTCTGACTTGATGTCAACCTTATGACCTGTCCCAATCAAATGTTTGAAAAGACAAGGTCTATGTTACACCGAATGTCCAAATAGCAGGTAAGCGATTGTGTCGCATACCATTGTGTCTATGTATGTGCGAAACACGTACATAGAGAGGAGCAATCGTGATCTGCAAGAAAGGGTGGCGGAACACAAACCTAAATGAATTCAGTAACAAATGAATTCCAATGGTCGAATAAGATCACAGGATAGACAGACATCATTCCCCGTTGCGAAACATTTGATTGAGACTAGTCATAAGGTAGAAATCAAATCAGCATTTGTAGTGTTGTACAAGGGCCTTCAAAGGCGCACACTAAGGTTTATTGAAGCCTTGACTATACGGAAACTGAAACCTCCTTAATGCTTTCAAAAACAGTTTGCCCTTACCTTTACCCTACCCTGGTAATACTGATTTATTACCCAGAGTGATTATCACATTATTAATGTGTACTTGATTATTTTATTTTTTTTGTTACGACCTACCTTTAGCCTGTTTAGTTGATCTATTAGGTTTCATATAAAAATGTCTTAACAAGTATATATGCGATCAAATTGTTCGGAATGCATTGCACAAATATATCACATAATTCTGATAAACTTCGTTTTCTCATTGGATTAGCGAAATTTATCAAAGGGACTAATTGTTTTAGATCAAATACTTGATTGATATTTGAGAATTCCTGTATGCTTTTATCAAACATCTTTATCACTCAAATAGTTCCATTTCATACTAAAAGGGAACAATGTTAACGAATTGTTACAGTATTGTTATGGTCATAATTAGAACGCGTATTGAAGGGAGTTTATCAGGACTATATGCTATATTACAAATAAAAATATTTATTTTCATTGAAATCATGAACCGATTAAAGTTGGACAACCATTGAAAATCTGGTAACACTGAATGGCCACTTCGTCTTAATATGGAACACCTTGGCAATGCCCGTTCACGACCTCACAACCGAGAATCAAACCCAGGAACTTTGAAGACAATTATTGATTGAAGTTAGACTTGTACACCAATCGACCTCAACTCGGTAGTTAAGCGATTGTGCATGTGACTGAAAGTCATAGGTTCGACTCCTTCTTGATAGGTCCAAGATACTCACTGCTGAGAAGTCCTATACTTGGACGAAACGACCGTTCTGTGCTTCCAGCATACCGATGTTCATCTAACTTTTCATCAGTTCGTAACTTTAATGAAATTTAACAGTTTCATAACCTTATACTGAAAAGCAAATGCGTTTGACACAGTGTGAATCTTCAAACTGTATAGACTGCATTGAATAACTTCAACTTCAGAACCCATTTTTATGTTACCAAGAAAATGTTTTATTATCATAATTATTATAAATCAGATAGCTTTAATTTATTTTACTCAATTACACATTCAGAATGAAGGTTTGTGGAGATTGTAGCAATCTTACTAGTTGCATTCATGATTCAATCTAAGCTAGATCACCATTGAAAGCCTGAAATCACTGGACGGCCATTTTTTCCTAGTATGGGACTCGTCAGCAGTATGAATCCACGATCTACTGAAGTCCAGTACTAGGACGAAACTGTCATCCAGTGCTTTCAGGTTTTCAGTAGTGATCATTTATAGATGACACCGTTTATGTTATCAGTATTTATTACAAATTATTTAGAATATAAGAAGTAATGAAAACATTTCACTATAGAAAGTAGTGAATTCTAAACAAATATCATGTGAAGATTATGTGGAATAGAAGAAATATGATATCTATATTATTATGATATTACTAATAATAGTAATTTGTAGTAAAAATGAAATACAAGAATTGAGATTAAAAGAAGAAGATTAATATTAATAATTTATAATATAATGTAGTGAACAAGGACACGAGTGGGGACAATCGAATGTACTGAACACAGAATTACAGGACTTGTTAATAAAATCTAACAATCATAAAGTAAAATCTCAATTTGCAAAATGTCCATCGTTTGTCTCAAAATGACTCAGACTTCATTGTTTTTGTATTTCCACACAAATTGCATTCTGTTTCCATTCTTTACTGTTCGATCCTCTTACCTCTCTGTTGCCAGACCTTTTCATGACTAACATCATATACTACTTATGTCAATATAAGTAGCACACATCACAGATATAACCAATTTGGTCAGGAATAGAATGATCTTATTACTGGACAAGACAAATAAAGAAGATAAATAGATTTAATTCATTCATATTTATCATACTAAAATGATTTATGAATTTTAGTAAATTGTGGGAAGGTTGAAATAAAACTTTAAAAAATACTTTTATTCTTTGTTGAATGAAAAAACTGGCTTACTTTTTCTAATTTTCATACCTTCTTTTTTTACCGGACATAGAGATACAGGTTCATCAATATGAGGTACTTTGCTAATGAACGTAGAGTCACAAGAGTATGCATATAAGCATACCATAATTTACTGGTGTCAGCTTGGTTGAGATATGGTCGAGCTAAATTTCCCAGCATTAAATGCCTCTAATCAACACGTTGGGAAATCACTATATAATTCTTTTCTTATAAATAAAGTCTTAAGAAAAAGCTGAAGAAAATAGGAAAAGAATCATTATGCTTCAAACTTTTGTACTTACCAATTCTCCTACTGTCAGTTTATACAGAGGTTTATATCGAAATTTCACCATTAGGTTGACAAATTACAATATGTCATCGTTTAAGTAACTGTTTCTATGAATTAGGTGTTCATTTTATTGTACTAATGACGTATGACATATTGAACCGATGCATAAATGTGCCTGGTCCTACGTTGTAGATGACTGACTGATGACGATTTAAACCACGAATCGGTTATTCTAGTCTCCGTAGAAAACAGTTTATTGATTCTTGTTGAGTCACGTTTGGACCTTGTAAATTATGTTTTTCTTCTAAACAACGATTTATTCTAACAAATACAGAAAATTGACGAATTTCTTTATTACCAGCGATAATGTGGTCTTATGAACTGAAGTAAATATGTCCATATCTTTTCCATGGGATAGCTGTTTGTATATTAATAAGTCTTGTGCTCGTAGAAAAGAAATTAGTAAGTAGGGAAGTATGATATATGAATTTATGACTGAGAATTCAACTCATCATAGTTAAATACTCCTGATTCCATTATAAACTCGTCATAGTTAAACCAATATTGAGAGCCAGGCAGTACTGGATACGTTTTGCAGTAGCATAAAACTTATCAACAGCGATCATTCATAACACACACCACGTGTTATGAGGCCTAAAAGTTTCGGATTCAATCATCGGTTATTCTATTTGTAATTGCTTTTACACTGATGAATATTGTTAATTCTGACTTAATCAACAATGTTCAAATACTGAAGACAGGGATGGTTTTATTTCAGCTTCCAATGTACATTAAGTGAATAATAGCACTGGATAATTGTCATCCTCAACATATAAAACAAATTCCACTTCAACGTTCTACTCATCTGAAAAATAATTCTCTGCAAATCATAGTAATGTCCTTTCTTTGCGATATAATATTCACAAATACTTCCGCTTATATATTTGTTCATTATAATATATGTCACAGTTAAGTACACTACCTTAGCATAGAACGAACGTAAGATGTTATTAGTCTAATTATACTACGATAATCACTAATTTCATTGTAAATATACTAAAATCAATACACAGAGAAATAGATTATTTAAACAAACCTTTGGTGATGGATAACTCGTAAGCCATAGACGAAATGATGCATTGGTATTTGCCACAGTCATATCTTCACAAATTTTCTCAAGTGCTGTCATCCAACTCACAGCTAAATGACAATTTTGCAATACAACCCATGATCCGTCTTGTTTACCCTGTGCGATCATTTTTGCCGCGATCGGACCTTGACCCTGTCCAAGACTAATAGACTGAAATCGTGCACCTCCAAAACCTTTGTCTGTAGCGAATTTCAATAACGCCATTGTTGGATCAGCTCCAGGAGAAAGAATAAAAATTAGTGGTGTGGTACAACTTGAGTCTTGATAAGATTTCGCCAAATCGAATGGTGGAGGTTCAACAAATTTCCTGCCCAACTTCTCCCTCACATAATTCATTACACCAGGAACCACCTAATTTCATTTGAGAAAGAATCACATAATTGTGAATTTGATTTACCGAGACAAAACAAAAAGTCTTTGTAGAACAGTTAACTATATTAAATTAATTCACATAGTGATGAGCTGAAATCGGAGTATACAGATCACCAACCTAAATTTGTCAACATTGCTACCAAGATTTCAGTGAAATGATTTACAGATAATGTTAGGAGTGCCATAGGTAATGCATTCTTTCAGCTATCACTACTTAGATCACTGTTATATCCATTTCAAATTAATCATAATCTCTTAGCATCATTTCTCCTCAAACAAAGTTATACATATTCACTATTTTTCTCTTATTATAATCCGATCATGTTATACATTCCACACGAAACAAAATATTTGAGAATATTCTGACTGTTACGACTTCTCCTAATCTATATTCAAACTTTTCGAATAAAGGCTTTTTTCACCAACTAACGGTAGTGACAAATAATTTTTTTCAATATAGAATGGTTGAAGTTAGATATTAACACAGTTGGATGCCGACCAGTTCATTGGTCTAGTGGTTAAGCGCTTGCGTGCAAGACTGATATATTCTGGGTTGGAATCTCACGAGGCGGTATCGTGGATGCTCACTGTCAAGGAGTACCATACTATTGCAAAACGGTTGTTCAATGCTTTCAGGTTTTCCATGGTGGTTTAACATCAATCCGTTTTTGATCTCAATCAAAAATAAATCTATGCTTGACTTAATAATTTCTGCTTGAAATATTTTTTCATTTTGATGGATTAGTTAATGTAAACAATAACATGCGAAATATTCCATAACATTTACCTCAAATATATAATTTGTCATTGATAATAACTTCCTGATTGCTTGCACTACTATTTTTGTAAATTATAGTTACAATTTTTATTATTATTTTTGCTCTATTATGCCTCATCAGTAATAAATCAAAAATATTGGAAAGACGATTACGCTATTTAAAAGATCATTTTGAATATAATCTGTATACAAATGTATGTCGTTCATTATTTGAAAAGCATAAAGTATTGTTTGCATTTAGTATGTGTATCAATATTGTTAAGTAAGTTGTTGTATATATTTTGATATTTTTATAATGATAATTTCATTATCTTATAGATTGGATTTTGGGAAACATTTCTTACTGACTGTTTATAGATTAGTTTTAAGACAGTTTATATCTTAATCTGACGTGACCTACATAAACAGTCGACAACAGTACTGTACTGTTCATTTACTACTAACCAATAAATAACTTTGAGACATATTCCAGCATTTCTTGTGAGAAATTATAACCAATCGAGTTCACGTATTTAACATTCTAAAAACTTATCACCGATGTTAATGAATGATGGTCGAAAAACAGCATAAATAAACAAAAGTTGGGTTTCTAATCGACGTTCATACTCACTGATTCCAAGAACTTGCAGGTTGGATCTTTCCATTTATGCAACAACTTGGATGACTTTCCCGGTTTTCCACATTGTATGAACATTTCGTGTGCTTAAATTTATGGTTGCTGTGGTTATCAAAAGGAACATCAACCTCGTGACTCTCGAAGGAACTCGGTTTTCATTATGAAACTTCATAACTATTCTAAATAAAGACCTCACTCCAGTGAAGAGTTTAAATGGTTTGAATTACTTTTTCTGGTTAGCGTCTTTCTAGCGTGTTGGTTTTCTACAGGATGGGGTCGCTAACCCGATGCCCAACCCTTCTTCTTTTATCCTGGCTTGGGACCGGCAGTAGCCCCATAGAGGCTACAAGCGGAGTTACAGTCATACTCAGTCACTGCATCACAATTCATTTATTCATAGATTTGAATTTCCAACGATTCATGATGTAACTTGACTGTTATCCATTATTACCGATGAATGAGCAACTCACTCAAAACTCAAATGAATTCCTATATTATTCATGTTTACTGGAATGTCATACCGTCATAGCCAGTCATCTATAAATATTTAATTATCATCCTAATTCTCATTTTTCCCATTTTAAATCTCTATAATGAAATTTATTCTAAATAAGTCTAAATGTTTATAATATAAAAGATCAAATTACTGTTGATGTAATAAATCAATCAACTGACTAGAAACTAAATGAAAAAATTAATCATATAAACGATAGGTTCTAATCATAATAATTTGGTTAATTGATAACCATTAATCGTGGAAACTAATCACTCAAAATTAATTCGATGGGACTATAATTGATGGAAAACCTTTGAGTGATATTAAACTGATCCTGAGAATATCCATCTACTAACTAAACCACTAATAAACCAATGTAAGGAATAAGAATTATGATTCATAGTTGATAGTTAAAGTTTGGAATTCATCACGAACTGACATCAGCTAAAGAGTACCGAAATGCTATTTAATCAAATAAATAAATGAAATTCGTGCTAAAACTCAAGATCTATTATCTTATCTCTGATTGGTTCGTTGAGCAAACTTACACGTGATGGGTAATTAAAATTGATAAAGTTGTTTTTTTTTCCTTAAATATATTTTGTTTTTTTGTTTTTCCTTAAATTTTTATCTCGCAATTGTTTATTTTAAAGATTTAATATATTGACAGAATATCATAGTTACTAATTAGACTTAATGAATTAGTCAATCATCTACTTTTTTCTATTTTATTGACTAACATATTTACCATATTCTTCATCTGATTTGCAGAATTTATGTGATATCCGTTTATGAAAGTGGAGATTACAAATGCTGGTTATCCGGACAATTGATTGTAGAATCTGAATAAGTGAAACCATTATATATCGCGAATATTCAGCGAGACTGTAATTTATGGACGACCTTTGAACGATTCTTAAATGACCTTGAGAAATATTAGCCAGTCAGAAGACAGTTAGTATATGGTTCAAAACTTATCAAGGTTAAGAGGTCCTGAAATCGTAGTGCATACGGTAGAGGAACTCATTCATATGGCACCACAATAATCGACCTCTCGAGCCATGTTAGGGCTGCAAGAACTCCTTCAGCCCGTTCGGGCAGACTTCTTCCTCCAAAATAAATAACATCAGATACTGTAACTGGCGCCGTGACCTTGAAATCCCTCAAACGTCTGTCACTGGCTAGTCCATAAATTAAAGTCTCGCCATACGTAATTTAAAATTAAGATTGTAAAATAAAATTGAAGAGTTTCATACTAGAGATAAAACAGCTATTTAGTGTTACCAGATTTTCGATAGTTTTTTAACTTGGATCGATTCGTGATTTTAATAAAACGTTTATCTACTAATGGCGCAATAAAAATTTAGATACTAAAAGTCTGGAAAATGTTTTTGAAAGTTCCAACTCTTTCAATGTACGTTTCGTCTTAATAGAAAAACATTCATCGAAAAGATAAAATGAATAATTTGCTCTGATAAAATAAGCTTATAATAGATAGAAATTTGTGAATCAATTGACTAATCTTGATAATTATTGCTAGATAACAGTAAAGTGTTGAATTTCTTAGTTAAATATCAAGATGTCTTCCAAAGATCTTTGCAAAAAAACTGGAATTCTTCATCATATGTTATTTACATATAATTCTATTTAGAAAAGTTAGATATCCTGTAATTTAAATATTGGAAACAGAAGTGTATCTCTTCAGTATCTGATTGCTTCAAAGAGTTTTTTACTACAATAAAATCGATCGAATGTCATGACTAGTCAGCCTTCTTTGATTGTTTTCTGCTGTTTTTTATACCAGTGAATCAAAATATGATGTATTCGATGAATATGAGAATTGATTATCACTTGACTTTTGATTTTCATTTGTAAACAAATATGGATATAGGTTTATTTTAGTCCTTTATCTTATATTTATTCCAAAATATAGGGATCTTTAACAATCATTTCATTAGTATCAGAAAGGGTTTTTGTAGATATTATAGTAATTTAAATAGTTGAGATCATGAGTCAATTGAGTTAATAGTAACTCACTGAAGACAATGATGGATGTGTCGCTCAATTTCATAGATGGGTTGAAGTTAGACGTTAACACTGTTGGAAAGCCGACCGGCCCAGCAGTCTGAAGATTAGGCGCTCGGGCACGAGAATGGTAGGTCCTGAGTTCGAATCTCACAAGACTGGATCGTGAATGCGCAATTCTGAGGAGTCTCACAATAGGACGAAACGGCCGTCCAATGCTTCCAGGTTTTCCGTAGTAGTTTAGATTGAATTGAATCACGATTTCAACTACTGAAATTATCTTACTGTAATTCTGAGTTATTTGGTAGATAGGGTATTCAGTATGATCGCATATCTGTTGAGATATTCATAATACCATATTCATATCAAAAGAGTTCGAAGTATGGAAAAGTTTATATGAGTAACTCTGTTAGTTTCAAGATTCAATACCTGATCATAAAATTGACAGTGTAGTAAACACGAGTAGGGACAGCGGAATGTATTCGAACACAAATTACAGAATATCTCAGTAAAATCTGATAACCATACAGTAATTACTTAATTTGCAAAATACCATTCTATGGTCTCAAACTTGACTATTTCTTTTTGCAAATATCAGTCTAACGTTTCAGATTTCATTGTTCCTGTATTTTCATATCAATTTCTAACCGTTCCCGTTCTTTCCTTCTCTATCTTCTACTGAAATATATTCTATTCCTGATTATCATTATATACTACTTATGTGAATATAAGTAGCTTACATCACAACAGTAGTCAAATTAATCGAGTTATTAAATGAATTAAAGTAAATTAAAGTTAAAAAACATAATTTAACATTATTTGAATAATTTTAATTTCATTATACTACTTTTGTATTACGTTATATAAAATGTATAGATCTCGAGGTGAATTAGAAATGAATGAATTTATGTTCTTTTTAACTGGGGGTGTTGGATTAGAAAATAAATTAGCTAATCCAGCTAATAATTGGTTATCGGATAAATGTTGGGATGAAATATGTCGTTTATCAACATTAAAAGGATTTGAAACATTTCGTGAACATTTTACAACACATTTAAATGAATGGAAACAATATTATGATAGTAAAGAACCTCAAGAAGATAAACTACCTGAACCATGGGATAAATTAGATGTATTTAAAAGTTTAATTATACTTCGATGCATACGTCCGGATAAGGTTTGAATCTTTTTTTAATATTGGATTTAAACGAAAAATTGTCCGTTTATCAGTTTGATTTATTCTATATATAATAGTTGAATTCATGAAACAATTGAAGCTAGACCATCATGGAAAACTTGGATGCAATGAACAACCATTTTGTCCTAATATGGGACTCCTCAACAGTGGGCATCCACGATACCGCCTCGTGAGATTCCAACCCAGAATATATCAGTCTTGCACACAAGCGCTTAACCACTAGACCAATGGACTGGTCGGCATCCAACTGTGTTAATATCTAACTTCAACCATTCTATATTGAAAAAAATTATTTGTCACTACCGTTAGTTGGTGAAAAAAGCCTTTATTCGAGAAGTTTGAATATAGATTAGGAGAAGTCGTAGCAGTCAGAATATTCTCAAATATTTTGTTTCGTGTGGAATGTATAAAATAATCGAAGTTTAATAAGAGAAAAATAGTGAATATGTATAACTTTGTTTGAGGAGAAATGATGCAAAGAGATTATGATTAATTTGAAATGGATATAACAGTGATCTAATTAGTCATAGCTAAGAGAAAAAAATCGCATTTTATTAAGAGAAAAAAATGAATAAATATAAATTTGATGGTTAATATCATGAGTCAGGAAAACCTGGAAGCACTGGATGTCCGTTTTGTCCTATTGCGGGACTACTCAGTAGTGCGCATCCACGACATCGCCCCCTGCGAGATTCTAACCCAGGACTTACTGGTTTCGCGCGTGTGCACTTAACCACTAGATCACTGAGCTGGTTGACATCCAACTGTGTAAAGTGTCTAACTTCAACTAATCCATGAAATTGAGCGACACATCCACTATTGTCTTCAATGAGTCACTATAAATAACTTTGTTTGAGGAGAAATGATGCTAAGAGATTATGATTAATTTGAAATAGATATAACAGTGATCTAAGTAGTGATAGCTGAAAGAATGCATTACCTATGGCACTCCTAACATTATCTGTAAATCATTTCACTGAAATCTTGGTAGCAATGTTGACAAATTTAGGTTGGTGATCTGTATACTCCGATTTCAGCTCATCACTATGTGAATTAATTTAATATAGTTAACTGTTCTACAAAGACTTTTTGTTTTGTCTCGGTAAATCAAATTCACAATTATGTGATTCTTTCTCAAATGAAATTAGGTGGTTCCTGGTGTAATGAATTATGTGAGGGAGAAGTTGGGCAGGAAATTTGTTGAACCTCCACCATTCGATTTGGCGAAATCTTATCAAGACTCAAGTTGTACCACACCACTAATTTTTATTCTTTCTCCTGGAGCTGATCCAACAATGGCGTTATTGAAATTCGCTACAGACAAAGGTTTTGGAGGTGCACGATTTCAGTCTATTAGTCTTGGACAGGGTCAAGGTCCGATCGCGGCAAAAATGATCGCACAGGGTAAACAAGACGGATCATGGGTTGTATTGCAAAATTGTCATTTAGCTGTGAGTTGGATGACAGCACTTGAGAAAATTTGTGAAGATATGACTGTGGCAAATACCAATGCATCATTTCGTCTATGGCTTACGAGTTATCCATCACCAAAGGTTTGTTTAAATAATCTATTTCTCTGTGTATTGATTTTAGTATATTTACAATGAAATTAGTGATTATCGTAGTATAATTAGACTAATAACATCTTACGTTCGTTCTATGCTAAGGTAGTGTACTTAACTGTGACATATATTATAATGAACAAATATATAAGCGGAAGTATTTGTGAATATTATATCGCAAAGAAAGGACATTACTATGATTTGCAGAGAATTATTTTTCAGATGAGTAGAACGTTGAAGTGGAATTTGTTTTATATGTTGAGGATGACAATTATCCAATGCTTTTATTCACTTAATGTACATTGGAAGCTGAAATAAAACCATCCCTGTCTTCAGTATTTGAACATTGTTGATTAAGTCAGAATTAACAATATTCATCAGTGTAAAAGCAATTACAAATAGAATAACCGATTATTGAATCCGAGACTTTTAGGTCTCCACAAACTTTGTAAGCAATGATGTAAAGTGGCTGGCAGTGGAATCCAGGACGTGCGTTTCGTCCTATTTGGTTCTCGTAAGCTGGATGTACCTGCATCGCAGACGTGATGTATTCTCTGAGACTTGAACCCATTACCGTCTGCTTCAAACACCATTGAGTTGTCCACTTAGCTAATTACAATGAGAAGATACAGGTAAACAACACCTAGTGAATAACTCCACAAATCTTTTACGCCTATGATAGTTGAGTGATTATGAGTTACTAATACGTCCTTGATCTGTCTACCCATTTTTAGTGCTGAGGATACTTGTCTAATCTAGATTAAGATAGCCTGACCGGCCTGAACTTGAGGCTAGTATGCATGAGTTCGAAGTGTGATAGAGAGAAGAAAACTATTCTATCATCTGATTTTCTGACGTGCACACTAGTAAGAGAAGTCAACTGGAACACTACTCGATTTTATTCTCGATTCCAATCTGGTTGCCGATTTCAGTTTGGTGTAAAAAGATACGTGAATAAAGAAATGACTAACGCGACGACCATGTACAATAATTAGGAAAATACAATTATGTCCAAAACTGGTGACTATCGTAGAAAATAGAGTACAAAATAATACGTTTAAATTACAATAACTTTGGAACAAAAAAGGCTATGGCAGTGAACTTTACATCAAACGAAAGCTTATGATCTGTAGGATAGACTAGGGATAAAAATAAATGTTACTGTTTTACATGCTTTAAATTAACTCAAATAACGTCCCTAAAAATAACTTCGACAGTTTGTCAAGACTTCTTGTTTCTCTGTTCATATCAGTAACATTCTTAGTCATAAATTCATATATATTACTTTCATTGGAATCAATAACAACAAACCTTATTAATATACAAATATCTATAGATGAATAGGTTTACTTCACTACATAAGATTTCATTTTATCACTGCTAATAAAGCATTTTTGCTAATTTTCTATATTTGTTAGAATAAATCGTTGTTCAGAAAGAAAAAAGAACATTTACTAGTTATCGATTGAATGTAACCTTTGATTCATATAAAGCTGTCTGCTTGACTATACGTACATAGTTATGAATTAGTAATAAGGTGTGTGTGTGTGTGTGTGATTTTCTTCCTTCCTTGTATAATAAGGAAAAGAAATAAGTAATAAACATTTGATGGGTAAACTACTTTTTATTTTGAACATACATAAATTTTAATTACCTTTCTTAGATAATTAAAATTAGTTTACCTTGGTATTGTTTTACTACTTGAATCGTCTCATTGATGCTTGAGACTGCAATTGATCAGTCTCTTATTGGTATATGTGCATACTGTGCGGATAACTTAGATATTGCCTTCAGTCACAAGCTTTATAAGTAGAGATGGATAGTGGCTAGCAGTGGAATTCAGGACATACGTTTCATCCTATTCAAGACTCGTCAGCTGAATGTACATTCATCTGAGTGTTGATGTTCACTCTGGGACTCGAAGCCATTACCATTCACTTCAAATGCTATCGTGTTATCCACTTAGCTACCGAATCCTAATAGTCACTTACTTGTGCAATGGGGTGAAGCTTAAACTCACTTGGTATTGTTTAGGACTGCGATTGATCAATTTGAGATACAAGTACATCTAGCTGACGAGTCCCAAACAGGAGGTAACGCACGCCCTGAATTCCATTGCTAGCCACTATTTATCTTTGATTATAATTATTAATAGTGTTTTTAACAGATTTACTGTTCAATTTTTCGTAGGTAAATCATAGGGAACTTTTAAATTGATTTTACTTGTAAAGATGGGAAACAAATAAACAAAATCTAAGCTCAACAATCTTCACAACCCTTTACTGATAAGAAATATTGATAAAAGACTATTTTCTTGGTGAAATATAAAGATTTCTTTCATATACACATATTGTTTTCATATAGATTCTTCTTATTTATAGAATACTAAATTTTCCAACACCAGTCAACTAAATTGTCAATATCATATAGGAATAGTAGTCTGACATTGTTTGACTTATGTTTAAATGCGTCTATTTGAAATAAACAATCAATTATCTTCTAATTACTCTCTATCATTACATGAACACTATTTTCATTATAACAATGATTAAAAGGACTGTTATTTTCTTAGAATGAGTTACAATTTGTAATCAAGCAGTTGCTAGTAATCCAAAAGAACTTTGATTATATCTTTTACAAAGTATTCATAATTTGTTCATCTTCAGCAATGTTGAAAAGAAAAGAAAAATTCCAGGAATCAACTATTGATATAGTTGTTTACTTATTCATTTGTAAGATACTTCAAAATACTTTCAGAATTATAAATGATCATTTGTGATATGCAGTGATTCAGGTGTTTGTCCCATGAGAAGCATCAATGATCTCACAATTCAGATCCGCCTTATATGTATCAACCTGCACAAAAATTAACTTAAACGTTTTCTTGTCGAATTCCTAAGATCGGACCAAATGTAATTAAAAGTGTATTAAATCTAAAACACTTAAGGAAGGAAATGCTTGTAGAGAAATGTAGGTACATGTAATTGGATATCGTAAAATATATTTTTTATACACCACCTACAATTGTTACAGTACACTATTACTTTGTAGTATATTTGTTTCCAACTAATCAATAAAACACTACCTCTAAATATGTTAAACGTTTCTTTTAGTTTCCAGTTACTGTCCTACAAAACGGTATTAAAATGACAAATGAACCACCTACTGGTTTAAGACAAAATCTTTTACAGTCTTATTTAAATGATCCAATATCTGATCCCGAGTTTTTCAATGGCTGTCCAAATAAAGAAGCTGTAAGTTATATTTTTAGTTAGATTGAAATAAAATAAGATTACAATTTTTGACTATACATATCTATGATATTTATACATTATTATTACCTTTATCTTCAAATAATAAAAGTAATGTGTACCTACAAGTGTGTTGACGGCGAGACTCAAAAGATAGTCAATGTCATACAGAGTTCATGTGATGGATTAAACTGCAAAATCGTGCATGAAGGACAGCTGACAAAGTCGTTAAAAGTAAAGATCGGTGTCAGGCAAGGTTGCTTACTCTCACCCTTTCTCTTTCTCCTGGTGATCGACTGGATCATGAAGACGTCAACATCCGAAGGGAAACACGGGATACAGTGGACATCTTAAATGCAGCTGGACGAACTAGACTTCGAAGATGATCTGGCTATTCTATGTCACACACAACAACAAATGCAAGAGAAAACAACAGTGTTGCAGCAGACTCAGCAACAATAGGTCTCAATATACACAAAGGAAAAGTAAAATTTCCGATACAACACAACATGCAACAATCCAATCACACTTCACGGAGAACATTTGGAAGATGTAAAAGCCTTTACATATCTGAGCAGCATCATTGATGAACACAGTGGATCTGATGCAGATGTGAAGTCACGGATCGGCAAAGCAAGACAGCATATTAACAACTGTAGAACATCTGGAACTCAAAACAACTGTCTCTTAACCCACACCAAAGTCAGGATTTTCAATATAAATGTCAAGACAGTTCTACTGTATGAGGCGGAATGTTGGAGAACTACGAAAGCCATCATAAAAAAGGTACAAGTGTTTATTAACAACTATCTACGCAAAATACTTCAGATCCGTCGGCCAGACACTACCAGCAACAACCTACTGTAGTAGAGAACAAACCAGATTCCAACTGAGGAAGAAATCAGGAAGAAGTGCTGGAAGTGGATAGGACACATATTAAGGAATGCACAGAACTACGTCACAAGGCAACCTCTCAATTGGAATCCTCAAGGCAAAACAAAGGAGAGTCGGAAGATCGAATAACACATTACACCGAGAAGTGGAGACAGATATGAAAAGAATGAACAACGATTGGATAGAACCAGAATGGAAGGCTTAGTAGAGAGTGGGTTGGGGAATTCTGGTCGGCGGCTTATGCTCCATTGGGAGTAACAGGAGTAAGTAAGTAAGTAAGTAAGTACCTACGACTGTAGTGTTTGATGAAATATCAACTTTTAATTTGGACGACTTACTACCCAATATGTATTTCACAAACTTCTATATTTATCAATAGTTATATCTGATAAGATTTTAGACCTGATCCTTGTGTTTTTTTAAAATACCTGACTTAATGTCAGAAGTTACTTCAAAGATATGACAATTATTCAGTGTATTTATATACCATTTAATTGACTACTTAAAATAACGTTGTGTAGAAGATTAATCTGCATTCATAATAATTTTTATGATGAAGAATGTGATCTTAAAATGGAACAACTAAACAGTTTGTAATTCAACTGGATAAAATCATGAAATACATGGTGTATTTTTGAGAATCAAAGTTTACACGGAATTCTCAATTGATGTTGTCACTGTACTTTAACACAGTTAAAACAATATAAAGGTATTGTGGGTAAAAATGAAATAACTCGTAAAAGGGGTGAATAAATAGCCTGACTATCACAAGTGATTCATATATGAAGATATCTAATGATTCATTCCATAGGTTAGACAAACTATATCTCCCTACTTTGGAATTATTCGTTGTAAATGTCAGGCTCGGTGTGCGATTTATTTTGAAACGTAGCGTTTTTTTTATTTAAAAGAGAACAACATATGAAACAAAATAAGATAATTTCATTTAATTGATATCATGAATCAACGTAAATTAAAGAATTATTGAAAAACCAGACACTAGATTGACTTTCTCTCCTGGTATGAAACTCTTCAGCAATGAACATCCATGACCCTGGAACTAGGAATCTAGCTCATAACCTTTGATATCACGCGAGAACACTTAATCTCTAGAACTCTGAACTGGGATGGTGTACAAAACTAACTTCAAACAGTGCATGATGTTGAGAGACCGTCCTCCACTATCCGGTTCTTCCCGATCTTCAACGGTTGTCTAAACTATGATCGGTTCGTGACTTGAATAAAACCCAATGATCCACATCACCCCATAATTCATTTTTCCCGTAGTTTCTCAGAAACCGCCTACAATGTAAAACGAAAGTAGCTATCATTTGCAACCAATGTACATACATTATATCATATTAAAAAAAGACTACTAAAGTAACGACAATGAGTATGGAAAAATTATCCAGTGATATGGTGGATGTATATTTATATATTACTAAATTTGAACATTCTAAAAGAAAAAAAATTGGTGCCCAGGAATATTGTTTTGTCGAGAATGAATATTGGTGTTAAAGTGACGTATTAACAGTCAAAAAATTGAGTAAATTAACTGAGTAATATGAGAAAGGCTCAAAATCAGCCCAGCAACGAAAGAAAGAAATTTGTTACTGGGTTTGTAAAACGAAATATTAAGTAATTGAATAATGAAAAAAAGGAAGCTACCAAGCTAGTAAGAGATTTACAATTGTATCTTTTTAATACACAGTTTCGGTTACAGATTTATAGTTGCGATGATCTCAGTTTAATGTTGTGAATTCAAAGTTGTTTCTGTTATGATCATTTTGAAGGATTTGAAATATCAACATTGTCAATACTATCAAGCAGATGACATACGTTGATACTGTTAGATTTATCAACGGGAGAAATTGTATGATCCTGTTCTAGCGTTTCTATTTTTATTAACTTAGTGGTTACTTTATCATTTATGGTTCCATGCCATTTACACAACATTTACATAAATATGTAATAGTGTATCAGACAAGATTTAGCTTCTTAAATTGATGTAATCCAATTCTACATAGATGAATGTAATATCAAGTTGTAAAATGTTTTTTTTTAATTCCTTGTCACCTACTTTAATGTTCATATGACGTAAACGATGTACATTATTGGAGACTTTTTAAACTATTAGTTTCTTATTGGAATACATTGTTACTACAGTCCAAATAAAAACTTAGAGTGTATATTATTGATTACTTTGTAATCGGAAATTAAAATAATGGAAAAAATAATGTAATAGCTGAGATACTTTTCTAAGTTGAAATTTAGAAACAAAGTATATATATATATTTTTTTCAGTATAGGGTTGTGGAGATTGCTAAATTTCATTGATATCATCAATCTATCAGTGGTAGACAACCATTGGAAACCTGGAAGCTCTGAACGACCATTTCTTCCTAATATTGGACTCCTTAGAAGTGCGTATCCACAACCGTGCTCACTAGGATCCAATCCAGGACCTTCAGTTTTGCACGCGAATACCTGACTTTCAGATCACTGAGCTAGCACACAACAAAGACAACAAAATATGGTGGTGCAATACTATGGATTGGTTGAAGTTAAATATTAGCTCCGTCGTATGTCGGCTCAGTCGCCTAAGGGTTAGGAGTTCGCCTATGAAATCCAAGGATCTGGGTTCACGTCCCTCTTACAGGATCGTGTGTGCCCACTTCTGAGGAGTCCAATTCGATGACTGAACGGTCGTTCAGTGCTTCCACGTTTCCCAATGGTTGTATAACATTAATCAGTTGACGATTGCAATGAAATATGTATAACATTCACTTCATATTATTATTTGACATCGTTTGAGTTATCTGGACCGAAATTCCATCAATCTTTATTGATAAATGTGCATTCCGTAAGGTTTTCCTTAATCCAGCCATTATGATACATGTGCCTCTTGGATTCCACTTTTAACCGTAATCCTTCTATTATGTATAACTTATAATGGCTATATCTAGGCATTTCGCATATAATGCACAACTCGCAGCAATGACTAACTAAGTTTCACCACTTAATATCAACGACGTTAAAAAAGTCAAAGCTTCCCTATTATGAATTAAACATAATATTCTCTGAATAAGTTAGTAGTTACTCTTACTCACTAGCTATTACTGTTAATGTGGCTCTCCGTAAGATTTTAAGTAAAATGTCTTTTGTGAGTAAAAAAATAAATTTTCAACCACTACTCTTTTGTAACTGGCTTTTATGTGTAAGTGCTGTGTCCGTTTCTTTACACATTGACCTTTATAGGATTTTGATGAAAATATGTAACTACTTTGAGATTTTGTTGGAAACTTCAGTTTCAGTTTGGAAAGGACAAGAGGCTTGATGGCCTGTGTTAGTCCTGACAATTATGGTCTCTCAGTTGATCCAAATTTCTTTTGAAAGAGTCGATGGATGGAGCCTCAACCACGTGCTGAGGTAATGAATTCCACTCGTTGATGATTCGATGGGAATGTCGATAGTCAGATTTCTAAAAAAAGAAATATTAAATGTGACTAACTTGATGAGAACAGTTGGTTTCATTCGTTACAGTAATAGTCTTTTCATGTTCTCTTTTTCTTTTTGGTTAAAAATTAAGTTCGCTTCAACCTTACCTAATAGTACACTATCTAGAGAACGTAAAATGTTTTTTTAGTGCAATATTTTTTTCCCAACAAATCTTCAATGAAATAAAGATGTTTTTACATTAGATTGATTATTAATGTTAATAGCATAACTAGCACATGTAATCTTTCCAAAAAATGATAGTTTACTAGATAAATTAGTGTAGTTTTCACATTAAAAGTAATATTGTTGCTATGATTTAGATTTTTGTTCTGTTAGCCATTGATTAATGAAAGAACAATCGGCGAGACTATAATTTATGGACGAACCAATCAGATTTACGACAACAGGTCTTGGATTTCGGTGTTAAATTCACTCCTTTATTTGGATGAATAGAGTTTTGGCATGATGTTTCGTAATGAACTAGAACACGAGTGGGGGATAGTCGAATGTATTTGACACTAAATTACAGAGCACCTCAATTAAATCTGAGAACCATATAGTAAATCGTTAATTTGCAAAATATCAATCATATCGAACTTGACTGTTCCTGTTGCAAACATCAATCCATTGTCTCAGATTTCATTGTTCATGCGTTTTTATACCAATTGCGTTCTGTTCCCGTTCTTTCCTTGTCGACCTTCTACTGAAATACATTCTATGTCTGACCACCGTTATATACTACTTGTGTGGATATAAGTAACTCACACCACAAATTCAGTTCTTGATGAAAACCTGAAATCTAATTCTTAGTCCTGACCATCAACTGTAAATCATAATTCGAAGTCCTCACACTGGTTTACAGTCCTCATTTAGCCCTTGTAATTAGGTAGACACTCTCAAGGTCACTTTGGTTTTACTCAAAGGTCGTTTATAAAGTAGTCTCACTGAAAAGTCTAAAACTTTGTTATGTATTTAATTTATAAGGGTAAGTTATTAATTATGTTAAATATTGTATTGCTATGAGCTAAAAAATGGAAAATAGTTATTTACTGTTAGATTAAAATTTGTAATTGATGCCCATTAAATTATGAATCGGGCAAGTAATCATGTGGTGTGTGTTACTTATATCGATATAAGTCGTATAGAACACCAGTCGGGAATGGAACACCTGACAGTGTAAGTTTGGGAAGATCAAATCTAAGAGAACAGGATTAGGAATAGAGAATAATTGTTATGGAAATAAAGGAATAATTAAGTTTGCGACAAGTGATGAACATTTTGCAAATCAAGTATTGAACATATGATTTTCATATTTTACCAAATAACTTTAATACATCTCGTTGTCCCCGCCTGTGTTCTCGTATAATACAATTAACTAAAACATATTGTAATGTATAGCCTAAAAGGGATTAATCTGAATTGGAGAGAAAAGTTATTGGGTTCGTAGGATAATTTTGTAAGTTAAGTGATTTATTAGTAATTTCACTTGGAATTTTTTCTATAACAATTATTCCACAAAAGCAATGGAACCTTTATGTATGAGTTATCTTAGTTGTAAAATTCAATACTACTAAAAGAAATCGATTTTCACGAAGTTCTGTTCTCTGAGTTGGATGGTTTGGTCATGGAGGTCGAATTTGATATTAGAAAGTAAAAAAAACATATGTTACTGGTTAAGATAAAATTTTCGTTTTTAACTTTGAGAAAAAGAAACAAACTACGTAATAAATAACTTGAAACCTACTCATTGCCGTGGTTTTTGAACATTATGAAACATATGACCTAATGGACTTATCACTTTATATATATCTTGAATGTCCCTTTACAATCTCTTGAATTGATGTATCAAAATGAACCATTTACAATCAGAATCATCATTAACAACTTCTTTTGATAACTTCTTAGTCTCAAGATTATTTGTGGTGAAAAATTACTACCAGTTCTTTAATGTAGATTCTTGTTCGTAATTAACGACATTAGCTATGAAGTTAATACTGGACTTGGAGAAAAAATGTTTTTCCAATGTTTTCTTTTGGATTAATTATACTGTTGTTTTTATATATCTAATTTCAGATTTTTGAGAAATTATTATTCGGCTTGTGTTTCTTTCATGCTCTTGTGCAAGAACGTATTAAATTTGGCCCACTTGGATGGAATATACCTTATGGATTTAATGAATCAGACTTACGTATATCAGTCAGACAGTTACAAATGTTTGTAAACGAATATGATAAGGTCAGAATTAGTAAAAATTAAGTTTTACATAAAATTCTTGATGTGTATATCGTCTCTCTTAAAATTTTTCATTAATCTTAATGTATGTTCTGCTGTCTATTGAACATTCATCCCATTAATCTTTTGTCGGGAAATGTATACTTTGTTCACGAAACTAAACTATTGGGCACTTAAGTAAAACAAATCATCGGCATCCACATAACGTGTTTTCAACATTTACAGCATGAAGACATGTTTTTCATTATTTCAAACGAAAATCTAAATCACTGAGCCGGCATCCAACGGTGTTAATGTCTCACTTCAACTAATCCATAAAATTGAGCGATAACAATTCACTGAAGACAATGGTGGGTGTGTGGCTCAATTTCGTGGATTAGTTAAAGTTAGACATTAACACCATTGGATACCCGCTCAGTGGTTTAGTGGTTAAGTGCTCTCGCGCTAGACCAGTAAGTCCTGGGTTCGAATCCAGCGAGGCGGTATCGTGAATGCGCGCTGCTGAGGAGCCCCTCGATTAGGCAAAATGGCCGTCCAGTGCTTCCACGTTTTCCATGGTCGTCTAGCTTCAATTGAACCATTGGAATTACTATAATATCCACAAAACCAATCAGATGAAAATCTAAATATTTACTATATTAGTAAGTATTCTGTTGATACCCCATCTGTTGCATAAGAAATATGTATTTACGACTAACTAACCTCTGAGCTGTGATCTATTTCATGTAATAGCAAGTGCTGTATAATTATTAAATAATTAAATTATTATGTCTTTTTATTCTCCTACTTGTATAGTTTTTGGTGAGCAATAAACTGTTGTATGTTATTACCTTTCTTAAGTTACTGTTCATTGATTACAACACTTTTTGTCAGTTTTCTTCCACTTATGGAATAGTTATGCCGTTATGATAATTTTTTAATTCTGTTAATGTGTGATCAGAACTTTGAGTGATTAATGAATTAAGTGCAATCGATAACTTATCCACTTTCTTTTTTGTCTTTAAATTGACCACTTGGTTAAAAGGAGCTTGAGGACCATTAATCATTAACGTACTGCAAGTTGTTCAGTAGTCAGTGTGTTAATTGATAACTAGGTCGCCCATTCTACAGATAGTATGGGCGAACTAATCGATAATCGGTCTCGAGTGAGGGAAGTCATACAACTGCTTTCTTATTATTAATATAATTTAATCCCAGAAAGTTACCTGTTATTTGGTATTGATTCATGATGAAAAACCTAAATCATTAAAACTTCCCGTTTCGTGAATTAGAACAATACATTAAACCGAATAATTGAATGCTGGCTCAGTGGTCTAGAAGTTAAGTTTTCGAGCGAAACCGAAAGTCTTAGTTTTGAGTCGCGTGTACGGGATCGTGAATGCTCACTGCTGAGTGGTCCGATACTAGGACGAAACGGCCATCCAGTGCTTCCAGGTGTTCAGTGGTGATCTAACATTCATCCATTCATGATATCAATCTAAATTAGATCCTCATCAGGAAAATGAGGTGAAAATTTGATGTTGGTGAAGAAGTGTTAGATTCAATGATTTGTGTATCAAAACTTGATAGCAATAAACTTATGTCAGATTATATAAATGGTGTGTATCATTATTAATTAAACAATGTAACAAAAATTATGAGGGGTAAAAGTATTACGTAATGCAACAAAAAGGAATAACATATCTGTAATATTTTCAATTCAAATATAGAAGAATAAAACATGATTCTCAGTTTGAAGTTGTGAGGATTGTTGAATTTCACAACCACAATGATTGATCACTGGGTGGTGATCAATGTCATGCGTGTCAAGTCCTTATTTAGTGCAGATCGAATGATATCGATCATGTTGCAATGTGGCCACAGTCTAGATGAATCAACACTGTGTGCACTATATATTGAGATTAGATGGTAGTTGGAGGTAGTCAACAGGAAACCCCGGACCCGGATAATATAAGACACACGACATTGACCACCACCCAGTGATCAATCAATTGTGGTTACATCTCAGTACTACAGGAGGTCAGTCACGGAACGGACAGCTCAGTGGTAACGTCTCTGACTGTGAAGCTGAGTGACACAGGATCGAATCCGCCAGGGAGCACCAGTTCCCTCAAGATTACAGGTACACCTTGCTGACGAGTGCCAAGTAGCACGAAATCCGGATTCTGGGTTTCCTGTCGACTACCTCCAACCACCATCTAATCTCGATTGTTGAATTTATATTGAAATAATGAATCAATCATTCATGATCTAAAATTGATCAGTTCATGATTTCAATGAAAAAGAGATTTCATCATAAAATGATCCGATCTTTAGAAAATCAAGGTTGTATAATGATTTAAATATTCAAGAAAACTACGTGAATGAAAATAATTTACGGATCAGAAATATAGAAATTAATCGTTCATTCAATAAATATAAAGGAAGCGATGAAAACATAAAGGTCATAATAACAATCGAATAATAAACATGAAAAAAGTCGGAGGATAATAAATAACAACTGATTATAGTTTAAAAAGTACAAGATTAGCAACCAAAACAACAAAAAAACGAGACCAAAACATACTGGAACAAGTCATATATGCTATAGTTGCATGTTTGACTTTTATACAAAGAATTCAGACTTGAATTAATGAATTTTCAACATTTCAACAGTCCGCGATTTTTTGCTTTTACTTCCTTCCAATCCAATTGTTTTGACTGTAGATCACTATGTAGTATGATCTTTTGGCGGTAATATAACAAGAGTTGGTGAGGTGCTCCTGTACTGAGCTACTGATTGTTTTTCAATCCCATTTTAAAAACTATGCTGGGTATTTTCATGAGACATGTTTAGAAAGCGTTTGTTATGCAACACGAATATGACCTACTCCACAACAGTGAGATGTGTGTAGATATGGCCCAAACTGAAAATTTATTCCTAACATATCCACGAATTTTAAGCATTGTGATATAGAGTTGGTAAAATTTCACTGAAATCCTGAACCGAAGTAATTCAGACCACCATTGAAAACATACAAGCACTATACAACCGTTTCGGCCTAATATGTGACTACCTTGAGGCGCAAATCTACAACCATGCAACCAGAAATCGAATCCATCACCTTCGGTCTCAAGTGTAAACATTTAACCTCCAGATCACTGAGTCGTTATCCACCATTATCGATGTCTAACTTCAAACAATCCACAATATTGCGTAACCATCATTTGTTGTCTTCGGTGGGCACCTGCCTCACACTCGATATGGTTTAACTCCACTGGTCACGGATTCCCACTAGATATCTAGGGGTTTCCTCTGGATGTGAGCTAATGATAAATTTTGGCGTGAAAAATATAATATATGTAATACATAAAGGTAGTGCTGAATTTGTATATATGACAATTTCTCGGTTCTATACATCATTTGTTATATTATGAGTTGCGTAATTCAGAAATTATTACGAACTGATAATGAAAACATTACATGTAAATTTTAATTTACCAAGCCGTATGCACAGAACTGTTAAGTCGAAAAGACAATAAACTGATTAAGACTTGAAATTCGGAACTTCTATATTCATTTACTACAGGACAGGATTTAAACATTACACACCTAAATACTGATAATGAAGAAACATAAAATGAATATTTGATAAAAATTCTGACAAGTATTCTTAATATATGAAGTTAAAGATGTTCAACAGAAGAGAAGAATTTTGAAAATAAGATAAAATGGTGAGAGTATAATTTATGAACGACCTTTGAGCAACGCTGAAGTGACCCCGAGAGTGTACACCTAATAACTGGGACCAAATGAGGGTTATAGACCAATGTGAGGAACTAGAATTATGATTTACAGTTTGTGGTTAAGGTTAGGAATTAGATGTCGGCTATTCATCACAAACTGACATAAACTATAATGCCCAAAACTTTATTTAGCCAAATGGATGAGTGAAATTCCGAGACCTATTATCTTATACCTAATTCGTTTGTCCATAAATTATAGTCTCGCCGAAGTTAGAAAGAATGACCTGAATTAGATAAGAACTGTCGTCTAAATTTCATCGAATAGTTTTAGAGTATTTGGGTGCCAAGTTGATGTGAAACATTAAAGAGGAAGAATGTATTTGTAAAATTTCAGCGAATGAATTTGAAGTAAATATTTCCTTGAGAAAACTTAAACCAGATTGCCAGACGAAACGTAGGATTTGCTTCAAATTCATCCGGCTGAGATTTTACAAATACATTCTTTCTCTTTAAGATTTGAATTAGTTTTTATATAACTCTTAAATTTCATGTATTTGTCATCTAAATACAGGTAGTACACTCTGATAACAGTAAAATTTGTTATTCATATTATTATTGTTATTATTATTATTATTATTATTATTCATTGACAGGTTCCATATGATGCTATCCAGTATATGACTGGTGAATGTAACTATGGTGGTCGAGTAACAGATGAACGTGACCGTAGATGTTTAATGACAATATTATTAGATTTCTTATGTCAAAATGTTGTAAGTGATCCACACTATAAATTTTCTCCAAGTGGTTTGTATTATGCTCCACCCAAAATGGAATATAATGAATATTTGGAATTTATTAAAGTAAGTCAAATGAAATGTGTTTTATTACAATTATACTGTGTATATAATTTATAAACTGAACAAACCGAATTATGAATGGAAACTCTAACGGTAGTAATTGAGTATTTTAATAATCTTAGTGTGCTCAATAATTGTAAGATTTTCAATAAGTTTTGATCTATGAAGTTAAACCTGAAGTGGAAGTCAAATAATCTTGAGATGAACTCTTCGCTGAGGTAAAATAATTTAAGCTGTTTCACGTTCTCCATCGTTGATTAATAAAAGTACACATTCATATGTTGCAAAATGACATACATAAGTTCCAAACAACTTTATTTAGCGTAAGATTACAAAATTTATCTTTTGGCTATTCACCTTAGAAGATAGACTGTTGACAACATAGAATAATTCTGTCAGTATCTTTTGCATTGTTTCGAATTACTAAAATGCTGTTTACTACATGTTATTTACTTACGCCTATTACCACTCGTCGAGGAGCATAGACCGCCCATCAGCCTTATCTACCCAACCCTGTCCTGGGCAATACTTTGCAGTTCTTTCCTGATGCTATTCATCCTTTTCATGTCTGCTTCCAGTTTTCGACGCAGTGTGTTCTTTGGTCTTTCTCTTTCCCATTTCCCTTCAGGATTCCAAGTTAGGGCTTGCATCGTGATGCCGTTTGATGATTTCTTCAATGTGCGTCCTATCTTCTTTCATCTTCTTTTCATAATTTCCTCTTCAGCTGGAAGCTAGTTTGTTCTCTGTCCTGGAAGTTGAAGGAAGTAATATGACGCCTCATGGTGAAAGTCGATATTCTTCGGAAGCCACAAGGCCGATGACAATTTGAAGTATATTTTGAGAAGGAATATTAATATCTTTTTCAGTTTCATTTAAAACTAATCAGCCATACTTAATTGATTTATTTGATATGTATGTTTGAGGAATACACCTAACACTAATAACGACAGCTAGCGTCATATAGTCTACCCCATATGATTAGTTTAATTATATTGATCATTACATTGCGTAGTCACTAGTCTAAGTGACTTGACACAGAGACGCATGCTTGATATCTAGACAGCTTGAATAGTGCAATGTTAATGGCTCCTAATGAAGAAGTGTGATGAAATTATTATTTCTACATAAGTCTCTCAAGTTATCAGGCACAACTTTTTGATGAGTATCGACAAGGAAGAAACTTAGGTTCAGAGAACCATCCACGTTTTCGTTAATTAAGTAACACCGTTATATATAGATCTTTATTGATTGCAATTGTAATAAAATAAGTTTTGCAATAATAATTGTTTAAAATCAGTTACATATGTTACCAGCTTTTGAACAAAGAGTACTAGTTTCCAAGCCTAAATGTCTACAGAACTGAGTGCAGATAGTGGATATCATCAAAGAAAATCAGTCTTTCATTTTGTTGTATAATAGACCATAGGTTTCCATTTTATTGATGAAACAACTAGTATAAAGCAATATTTAAATAACCTTAATGATACATGATTTATTTATTACATTTAGGGTTTGCCCGCTATACAAGCTCCCGAAGTGTTTGGAATGCATGGAAATGTTGATATCACACGGGAGTTGAGTGAAACACGCACATTGTTCGATTCAATTCTATTAACTGTTGGTCAGACATCATCGGAAGTGGGTGGATTTACGGATTCACGAATTGATGCAATAGCTAATGATATCCTGGGTAAATTACCAAACGCCTATGATATATCTGAAGCATATAAAAAATATCCAGTCAAGTATGAAGAAAGTATGAATACTGTTCTTGTACAAGAAATGGAACGTTTTAATAAGTTAGTTGAAACAAATATGAATTTAGTTAATCCATTGATGTTACTGCTGTCTTTAATTTATTTCATTAATTCTTGATAGCAATTGATCATCTCCAATCACCTCAAATTGAATTCAATTAGTATCCATTAGTTCTCGTAGTCTTTTTGGTGGAGTTACATTCTCTTAGCTGAATAATTATATTCGTGATCCACTCATTGTTGTTCTGCACAATATCATCACCACCAAATTCGTGTAGAAGTGAACTATGACTCATAGCTTGTAATGTCGATATTGGTGTTTACTGGTTGTTCATGCATATTTATGACCATTGTCTCTCCCTTTGACCTGAATCTTGGTCCTAAATTCGTCCTTGATTTTTCTAATTGTTTGGAGAACTGAGTCGATTTTTATATGTTTGCTGAATACTGACTTATATAAATGACCAGCTTCTAAAAATTCTCCGATCATTGTATTTCTTCTGGTCAAAATCCCAACAGTTTTCCTATCGAATGGTTTTTGCTATGAACTCAATCTAAAAAATCAATGTTAGATAGTTCGGAATTCCTGTTTGTTTTACTTTGTGACGATTCATCCATACAACGGTTGCATAGAGCTCTATTCGTTCCTCCTCTAGGTTATATAAATTTTCGATTAAAATAATCATTAAAACATAATCTGATCAGGAAACCACTTGAGTAACTCAATAATTCGGTCAACACAGTGTCGAACAATCAGTTGAGTGGAACTCATCACTATACATCAACTTCATTGATTATGAAAAGGCATTCGACAGTGTAGATAGGAGGACATTATGGAAACTTCTTCGACACTACGGAGTTCCTGAGAAGATTGTCAATATTATCCGGAACTCATACGACGGACTACAGTGCAAAGTAGTGCATGGAGGACAGCTGACAGATGCATTTCAAGTAAGGACTGGAGTCAGATAAGGCTGTTTACTCTCTCCCTTCCTTTCTTCTGGTAGTCGACTGGATTATTAAGACCTCGACATCTGAAAGAAAACACTGAATACAATGGACAGCTCAGAATCAATTAGACGATTTGGACTTCGCAGATGACGTAGCCCTCCTATCACGTACACACGAACAGATGCAGATGAAGACAACCAGTGTAGCAGTAGTCTCTGCATCAGTAGGCCTCAGCATACACAAAGGGAAAACCAAGGTCCTCAAATTCAAAGCGGAAAACAGCAATCCCATCATTCTTGATGGCGAAACTCTGGAAGATGTAGAGTCCTTCACATACCTAGGAAGCATCATCGATGAACAAGGAGGTTCAGATGCAGACGTAAAGGCGAGGATTGGCAAAGCAAGGGTCGCATTCTTACAATTGAAGAACATATGGAACTCAAAACAACTTTCAACCAATATCAAAGTGAGAATCTTCAATACGAACGTCAAGGCAGTTCTATTGTATGGAACTGAAACTTGGAGAACTACAACAACCACAATCAAAAAGTAAAAGTATTTATAAATAGCTGTCTACACAAGATACTCAACATCCATTGGCCAGATACCATCAGCAATAGCGTTCTGTGGGAGAGAACGAACCAACTTCCCGCTGAAGAAGAAATTAGGAAAAGACGATGGAAATGGATAGGACATACATTACGCAAATCGTCAAACTGCATCACGAGGCAAGCCCTAACTTGGAATCCTGAAGGGAGGCGAAAAAGAGGAAGGCCAAAGAACACATTGCGTCGGATAATAGAAGCAGATATGAAAAGGATGAATTACAACTGGACGGAGCTAGAAAGGATTGGCCAGGACAGGGTTGGATGGAGAATGCTGGTGAGCGGCCCATGCTTCTTCACGAGGAGTAACAGGCGTAAGTAAGTAAGTAAGTAAGTAACAGTGCCAAGGTTGAACATAAAAAGTACTGAAAGCAACTCCGTTTGATTTTTTTTACAGCAGAATCCTTTTCTATCTTTAAGTAGATTTCGAGATGAGAAATGAAATATTTTGAATACTTCACCACAGTCTTCACACTACTCGTAAAGTAAAGTTGTTTTAAATTGTTTGGATACTTTCAGGCATTCGTGGATAACATAGACATCGCTTAAGCTAGATTATCACTCAGAATGTTAGGGAAACAGTAGATAATGTTAACCATATATGGAAAACGGTTAAATCCACATTATAAAGTCATTTAATTATATTTCAACTTACCTTCAAACTGTATTTCCAGAGTTTTAAAACAAATCTGCTGAAGCTTATGAAATGCTAATACAATAAGATATTCTCAGAAATCATTATTTTATTGTCAGCTTACAATATAATCTTGACTAACATATAATAGTTTTTAGAAAAAATTACGTGAGTTGAATTATTGAAATGGTCCAAATAATGGATTATTAACAGGTTCCGTTTTTATTCCTTAAAAAAAGTAGCAGAATGTGGGTAACTATCTTGAATAATATCTGGGCTACCTCATCCTGCCATTTAGATATTTCAACAAGTCATTTGTTTGTTTCAACACATCATTATATCTATTATACACATAACCTCTTCAGGTGCGTTCGTAAAACATTTATGGCCTATCTCTGTACAAGTTACATAAAGTACAATTAAAGATATAGTAGTGGCTGGAAATATGCGTGGAAAATTATGAATATTATTCAAAAGTCGACTACTTAACTGCTAACATCTACCTGGCGATCACTCAATATTTGTCGTCAGGATCGATTAAAAATTAAGAAACGGAAACTTGTTGAAATACTTAGTGCTGAGAATTCTAAATTGTACCAAAAATATAATATTGAGTATCAGTAGCCCCCGGAGGGACTCCAGGCGGAGTTAATATTGAGTAGAGCATAATAATAATTATTATCTTCGCTTCTGTAACTCACTGAGAAAATAATTTAAAATTCCTCTCAAATATGCCTTCGATAAGTAGTCATCCTTCCTAGGTGATGAAAATTACTGACATAAAAGTAGATGAGATAAGCACCAAAAAATATATATTTTTATCCATAAAGTAACTATTGTTGGTTATGCATTATTACATTTTAGCGACTACTACAGACGTCTGTAACAAACAACATCCCACAAGATTTTATCTTTGCTAGTTTTCACATTACTAAACCACAAATAAAGAATAAGCAGAAAATATAAAATGTTGAATAAATTCACATTCATAGGAAAATTTGAAAAAAGACATTTGTCGGTATGTTTCTCATATCTGCAATTCCCAATGATTATGTCACTCAAAAAAAAGAACATTAAAAGTAGGTTTCATCTATGCAATAAGATATCTGGAACAAGAAACTATAATTAACTCATTACAATACAGTGGACTTTATGTAATATACTTTCCAGGAAATATGAGTATAATGTACAAAATCGATACAGTTTCTCTCTCTCTCTCTCTCTCTTATATATATATATATATATATATATATATATATATATGGCTGTATTATTTACTAACTGTTGTTACTTCCAGTGTCACATAGGCCGCCGACAAGCATTCCCCAACCCACTCTGTAATAGGCCTTCCTTTCTAATTCTATCCAATTGTTATTCATTCTTCTCATGTATGTCTCCATTTATCAGTGTAATGTGTTATTCGATCTTCCGACTCTCTTTATTTAGCCTCGAGGATTCCAATTGAGAGCTTGCCTTGTGACTCAGTTTGGTGCTTCCCTTCATGTGTGTCCTATCCACATCTTCCTGATTTCTTCCTCTACTGGAATCCGGTTTGTTCTCTACCACAACAGGCTGTTGCTAATAGTGTCTGGCCAATGGATCACAAGTATCTTGCATAGACAACTGTTAATTAACACTTGTATCTTTTGGATGATTGCCCCCGGAGTTCTCCAAGATTCTGCCCACTACAGTAGAACTTCCTTCACATTTGTATTTGAAAATTCTGACTTTGGTGTGGGTTGTCAGACAATTGTTTTGAGTTCCAGATGTTCTTCACTTGTAGATATGCTGTTCTTGCTTTGCCGATCCGTGACTTCACATCTGCATCAGATCCACTGTGTTCATCAATGATGCTGCTCAGATATGTAAAGGCTTTTACATCTTCCAAATGTTCTCCGTGAAGTGTGATTGGATTGTTGCATGTTGTGTTGTATTGGAGAATCTTGCTTTTCGCTTTGTGCATGTTTGGACCTACTGTTGCTGAGTCTGCTGCAACACTGTTTGTTTTCTGTTGCATTTGTTGTTGCGTGTGAGATAGAATAGCCAAGTCGTCTGCGAAGTCTAGTTCGTCCAGCTGCATCCTAGCTATCCACTGTATCCCATTCTTCCCATAATTTTGTTGTGTTGTTTACCATGAATATCAATTTTTAAAAAAATAAGCAAAACTGTAACCAAGTTATACTTAGTTAATGAAATAATCACAAAAATCTATGTTATCCTTCAGAAATATATCTTCATGATACAGAAGTATGTCAATAAATTTCTGCATGTAAATTAGACAGTATCGATATTAGTTTGCATATATTACTATTTTTTTCTATAATCTTGGTTGGAAACAATATATTCTTTAGTAAAATTATATTCGTCTCAATGTAATTCTCAATCAGATTTGTCTTGACGTAAATAAACTAATTAGAATAATGCTAATTATCTATTCATGTTATCCGCCACTGAATTTTAAGTTGTTTATTGATATCAACTGGTCCGTCTTAAGTGATCATTAATATTTAATATCTAGAAATTTATTTATTTGAGTAAAAATGTAAACCTAGGAGACCTATTCCTGGATGGTGATGTTGATGAGGACGATGTTATTATCTAGTTCAGCACTTTAAAATATCATTAGAACAGTAGAAGTGTCTATACGAATATTTGTCAATAGCAGAACGAATAGTTTGACAAAAATTGGGCGCCAATTATAGAGAAGTCATTATATGTGAAAATTATATACTGAAATAATCTCAGTGATTGAAATTTAAAATAATTCCAACGTTTCGTCTAATAAACTTCTTTGAACTTCTTCAAATATGACTGGATTAGCACAGTATAGATTTGATCTGATTTGATTGTTAAGCACTATATATTTCTTTGATGATTTTGATATTAATTATTACTCTGAAGAAGTCCAGATAAGTTAGTTGGATGAAACGTTGGAATTATTTTAAATTTTAATTGTTGAGATTATCTCAAATATAATTTCCACATATAGTAGAAGTGTCTGTTACCAATAAGAAATAGATCCTAGTTTTCGCCTTACTACACCTTTCTGTTGTTTTCGATCAACCTTGATTATTAATAAGTTCTCATACTTTATTGTTTCTAATAACTTGTAATGAGGTATTCTAATGCTTAAATTTTTAATGAAAAGGAAATCTGTTTTAATTTATTGTGATTCTTCTGGTTTCATAATATGGATGGTAAGCAATCAATATTGTCATTATTTCCCTCACAAGACTTAATTTTTCAGTCGTAATATCAATTCTAACGTTTGTTGTGTAGTGACCTAGTTTTATCAAGAGAACGCGATTGGTTTAATGGAAACAATCATTATTATAACCAATTGTACCAGTGATTTTTTTACTGTGCTTGTCTGTTTAACTGTACTAAAGACAGCCATTACTTCTCCATTATTATTCCGTCGACTGTGACCTTGTACGCTAGCAAGTTCGCCCATTGATTACGCTTGTATTTCCTTTAGCACGATCTCGGTATACTTTCGATACCATGAGATTGTCAACGAATAAATCTGGTTACAACCTTCATCTGCCTTCTGATTTTCTGGTACGCGCTTTTCTTGTAGCGGTGTTCCTAGTCAACTGTGACTCAACTCCACGCTACAGTTGAATGAATTAACACCACTTGGAAGCGTTGTTTACATATATCTCACTCAATGAGTTGAGAAATTGGTTCTTTTAGTTATATACTACTTCATATTAGATAGCTCTAATTAGGACTACCTTTGATAGATGACACCTCTTGGTTTGAATAGTGTTCTCCTAGTACTCAGTTAGTCAGTCAGTCAGCTACAACGTAGGACCAGGCACATATATACATCGGTCCAAGTTGCCATACCTCAATAACACAACAAGATGGACACCGGATTCATAAAAGTAGTTAATTCAGTGGTGGTAATATATAAAAGAAAGATCGCATGTTAGGACGTAGTACAGGAAGAAAGAATTAGTTCGTAGAAAGAAAGATATGAAGCGATTTTAATCTCTTAGTTTAAGGGAAGACAAAGAGTGTCTACACCACCTACGCCATTGTAACCGATTCTGATTCATGTCACCAAGAGTCTCCAACCATTGGTTACAATAGTCACGCGGACCCCGACCAAGTAGTTTGCATCTCCCAACATGGTTCAGACTAGAAGTTAGTGACTTTATGGACTAAAGTCAAGTTTTGGTTTGGCCGTCTCTAACTTTTTTCCATCCGTCTCCAACACTAGTCAGCATTGCGCGTCGTGGTAATCGGTGGTTTGGCATGCGTAATACGTTGTCCAACCATCTCAGTCGATGAATATTCACAACCTCATCAACTGATTTACCATCATTCCCTAATACCTAGTGTCTAACCTCACTATTACTTACCCGGTGATCCCAGCAGATGCAAGCAATATTTCTAAGGCATCTGTGGTCAAATACTAGTAGCTTACGAGTGTCTTCTACTCTTAATGGCCATGTTTCGCTGCCGTGCAGTATACTCGTTCTTTTATTGATAGACGGATATCTCGCCTTCGCCATAGGTGACGTAAGTTGGCAAAAGCCATACGAGATTTTCGAATCCGTGCTGAGATTCCGTCAGACACCAACCCATTTGGGCTGATCAGACTTTCAAGATAAGTGAAGTTGTCAACGTGTTCGACTACTTCACTCCCTATCCTTAGTTCAGGTGTTGACGCAGACCAGTCCTGAAGCAACAGCTTGCATTTAGAGGGAGAGGAGCGCATTCTAAACATTCTAGCATTGTTGCTCAGTGCTACCAAAAGATTTCATTTTATCAGCGTCTTCACCAAACAGGACTATATCATTTGCGTATTCTAAGTCGATAAGTGAACCTCCTGAAAGGAGATCAATACCCGAGAATTCAGTAGACGAGAATGTTATTTCCATCATAGGTCTATGATGAAGTTAAACAAAAATAGAGAAAGTGGACCGACCGTTGTTGCTACCTTGACGTTGTGGTCGGGCTTGCCTATCGTGATGAAGCAACCGAGCTATATTGGCTGGAACAACCGTTCCTCAAGGTCCTACCATGTCAGACAAGTCGGTTGAAGAGCGGTAAGACTAAAAGCAACAAACCCAATGTCCGAAGGCGAAGTCGTACTGCTGACTGTACAGAGGTGTGACAGCAGTAAGTTGTTTCCTTCAGACAACCAGCATGACAGCGATGCTTCTTTCCCACAAGGAGGGGTTTGGTTAGAAAGGTTGACCCTAAAAATACTCACCTCGCCTTATCTCACGGATATCCGTCTCCGGCGGTAAGGTTTCAACAAGTACGGAGCTAACACAAAAATTGCCCATAAAAGGTCGTGTGTGACCGACCTGAAGCAGTTGTCCCTTGGGCACTGAGGTCACGCTCCCAGGTCACTAAGACCGCCTCTAATCCAATTTCCTTTTCAGATCCCTCTTTTAATACTATGAAATGTATTTAAGATGATGAATTAAGATATGTAATTCTTCAAAATTAAAAGTTAGACAACATATCAGACGGACATAATTCTGAATTCAGTTAATAAAACCTTTCAAATTTATCTTTTCTTGACTTCGTGTTTACTTTTAAAATCTCTACTTCAAATACAGGAAAGTTTTAATTTCCCGTTTAATGAAACGCTGATAAGTATTCATTTTTTTCATGATAAAGGAAGATTACATGTATATACAGATGTGGGATCAATCGCCTGAATTATTTTTGGGTAGACTTATAAAGTTGAGAAGGAAATTGTTTTATTGATCTGAAACTTTTAGTGAATAGATATCGTAAAAGGAAACTATTTGATTGACAAAGAGTGTAGTTTCATGTTACAAGAAGACAAGCTTATTTATAAAGTATTCAGCAAGTTCAATTGACTCGATTAAAACGTGTATAGTAATACTATGAAAATTGTATAGAAACTTCACTGACATATTATTAGATTAGTATCCTTCCGGTCATATTAGATCTTTCTGTTATATTGATAATAATCAAATGTACCGACACCTCAGAAAGTTATTATGAAATCAAATCATTCTTAAATGGATAAAAGTATTACATGTAACAACCGAAATGTAACTAAAAACACTCCACGATATTTAACTTTTTTTATTTATTTTTAATTTGTAGTTTAACAACAATTATCAAATCAACATTGAATGATCTTAGAAAAGCAATCAAAGGTCTTGCAATTATGTCTGATACTTTAGAATCATTAGCAACTGCTTTGTCTATTGGAAAGTTACCAGCTATATGGGCACACCGATCATATCCAAGTTTGAAGCCTCTTGGATCATATATCAGTGATCTTATTGCAAGGTTAAACTTCTTTCAAGTATGTTTATGTAGTGTTTATATTAAGTATTTGAATATTCCTCTATTATAGTCAGACATATTTCGTCATTAAAAAAATGTTCATTATTTAAAAACCCCACATATATAACTAGATAAAACTGTTTTCCTATTATAGTGTTGTAGAGATTGTTGAACATGTAGCTTTACATCATGGGTAGACTGATCAAATAACTATTGTAAACTAGAAAGCACTAAACCAATACCTATTTCCAGTTCGAATTCTATCAAGATTTACTCTACTTTACATTAATATTTGTATACAAATATAAAAATTTTTAAAAAATCATTATAGAGAATTTATGTGATGGTGGAGAAGATTTGTAGCTCAGGTGGATGATTTTGGTGGAGTTTTGTTCTCTGAGCTGGATGGTTTGATCGTGGAGCTTTCATCGTTTTCCTGAACGACATCATCAGCACAAACTTCAGATAGAAGTGAAGTGTTCGAATTTCTCCATATGCGTTTCACAGCCTGTTCTGTACACCTCGACATTGATTCGTTCTTATTGCGGACACTGATTCGACTGGAAAAATGTGAAAATCTTAGGCAGAGGAAATTCCAAGAACACCAGAGAATATTTAGAAGCCTGGCACTCAGGTCAATCAGCAATCAACAAGCACATTGATATCGGTCCAACTTATCAACCATCAGGAAAATTATGCACAAATATAAGGACAAAAATCAAACCAATGGGACACACAACCAAAACAAAGAAGTAACGATGACAAATTTAAGATGGTGGAGATAATGAAATAACGATGAAAGCTCCACGACTAAACCATCCAGCTCAGAGAACAAAACTCCACCAAGACAAATTTAAGGTCAATGAGAACCAATGAACGTCAAGGTGTACAGAACAAGCTGTGAAACGCATATGGAGAAATTCGAACACTTCACTTCTATCTGAAGTTTGTGCTGATGATGTCGTTCAGAAGAACGATGAAAGCTCCACGACCAAACCATCTAGCTCAGAGAAAAAAACTCCATCAAAAGAGAATTTATGTGTCGGTTATAGCGATCGAATAAATTACATAACTAATCATAACAAGTAAAATTGGTTAAAAATTACGCAATAAGAAGAATATGATTATATATATGAGAAGTATGTAGAGATAGTTGTCAGATCATCTATTTAGGTCTTCTTTAGCCATAGAATATATTCAAAACTGTTTGTCTACAAAACGACTCGGGTTTTCGGACATGAATCATTGTGACTTTATGAGAAAAAAGGCAAGATTAAATTGTATTGAGAAAATTGAAATTGAATAGATAAATTACGTTGAATGATTTGATTTGATCTACAATTTGATTAAAACTGACTAGCTATCATAAAAAGAAGTCGTGTATTGACTTTTTAAGACCTTTATAAACCAGGCTAGGAGATGCTCAATAGCGTATTGATTAAATTCTTTGACACAACTAACATTTATTTTTACTATTATAGCTAATCCATCATACAGAACATCATTAACAGTATCTCCATAGAATTGTGATTTAAGGAAGTGACAGTTCCTGCTGACAATTTATATACTAAGCTTTTTTTCTTCATTATATACAAAATCTTTTATAAGTTCAGATTTATTTTAGTTTATAGATTAGATCGTGAAATTACATCAGATAAAGTATACATATATTAAAAAGTAGTTTCAGAAGGGTTTTCTGTTAAAATGTATTATTCATAGCGGTCATGCTGTAGATAAATCGAAATCATTTCGAATGATCTATTGTATACCTCCATCATTTTCCAACGGAGTTCGTTCCCGCCTCCTACATATAGCTGAAGACATGGGAATTCGTACATATAACCTCAATTTATGTGCACAGAAGAAATTCGTAACCCCCCTATCCCTTCCATGACCAGTTATAACCTAACAAACGATTATTTTTTAAATTTCTATTATTATCATTATTTATTTTTATTCTATTTTTGTTATCATTAGCCTTATTTTCACATCTAGTATTTGTTTGTAATTTTCCACCTCTTGCCGTTTGTATTCTTTACTATTTAATTATTTACTTACTTCTTATTACGTAATGGTTTTAATGTTTTGTAATGACTATTCCCAGTCTGTTTACCCACGTTTGACCTCCTATTTCGAATGTTTAACTATTGATGACTTTTGTTATCGTATTTTATTATTCTTACTACTATCAGTACACTTATCTTCCTACTATCAATATGAATTTTACCTATTAGGCTTGGTAACTTATTCTATTTCATTGTGATGATTGACGCATATTGCCTTGATTGGTTTAACATTTTCGTAAATATATTCATATATATTAGAGTAAAGCCTGATGACGATCTAATTGAACCAATTGTTCGCTTATATGTGTTGTTCTAAAAGTGTATTTCATCATTATCCCTTACTAAGGATAGTTTATGTTCACTTGAAAGTAAGAAATCTTCAGTTAGATGGCTTTTAAAAATTAGGAAACATACTGAAAATATATTCATAAAATTTTCCATGAACAAATAAATAGTTCACTATGATTCACTTTACTTATGAACTTTAAGTTGATATATATATATATATATATATATATATATATATATATATATATTGTATTCATAATGGTTATTATCTTTACTGAAGGTAATGGTTTCTGTCTATTTCCAAATAAATTTTGAATAAATACATAAAGACACATAATATTTAATGAAAATTTTCGCGGTGAATTCAATATACATAATTAAGATTTGATATAAATTAAAGTAAAAACAGTAACTTTTAAATTCCCACCTTCATTTCACATCACCATCACTATCGGTGAAGTAATTTATCCTATAATACTATCCATAAAATACAAATTCCTCCTATCCTTTGTTCGCTGCATTGATGCTTACTTATCTATTGTAAAAGCGTTAATAATTTTTTAAGTGTATCATTATTCCACAAGTGAGATTCTAGGGACGTTGAAATTTTAGTTATTTTTATTACAGAATTCACTAAGTAAAATCATCTACCTGCTGTTACTTTACATTAATACCGACTGTGACAACTCTAACTAATTTGAATAACATCTAACACGAATAGTAGATTAGAAAATAAACTGACAGATGTACTATGGTAGACCTAACTAACCTATCCTAATAATTATTACCTTTTTTGTTCCATACTATCTGCTTCTGCTTTATTTTCTCTAGTTGCAGATGATTATAATAAATTCATTAAAGCACAGGAAATGACCTTAAATTCACTGTTCATACATCAACACGACATCCACTCAAGAGTAATCAAAAATTCCCGGCTGATACATTTCATTACTGTAAACATGTACTAAATGTACTACCTGTAGAATTTTTGATCTAGTAAACTGAGAGGAATCTTATATCACATGTTTGTTCTCTACATTTAATGTCACTATGTATATCAAGGTGATCATGTCTATAAACTGGCGTGAATTTTGTAATTATTATTTTCAGAATATTACTCACTTACTTACTTACGCCTGCTACTCCCAATGAAGCACAGGCCACTGACCAGCATTCTCCAACCCACTATGTAATGAGCTTTCCTTTGTAATTCTATCCAATTTTCGTTCATTCTTCTCATATCTGTCTCCATTTTTCGGCGTAATGTGTTATTCGATCTTCCGACTCTCCTTTGTTTAGCATTGAGGATTCCACGTGAGGGATTGCCTTGTGATGCCGTTTGGTGCTTTTCTCCATGTGTGTCCTATCCACATCCAGCGGTTCTTTCTGATTTCTTCCTCTACTGGAATCTGGTTTGTTCTCTCCCACATTCGGTTGTTGCTGATGATGTCTGACCAACGGATCCGAAAGATTTTGCGTAGACATCTGTTAATAAACACTTGTATCTTCTGGATGATAGATTTCGTAGTTCTTCAGTAATTATAATAGTAATTATTATTATGATTATTATCATTATGAAATGGTGAAATATCAATAATTTCGAAAATTTCTAGAAACAACAAAAAATACTCACTTTATTTGATAACTAGAAATTTGTTCCAAAATTTTTGCTTCATTCATTTCTGTCATAAATTTGAAATCTAATGTCTTTCCGTTTAAGATACCAAAAAAAGAAAAAAAAGAAAGAAAAGTTAATGTCATAAAATGAAATGGATAATTTTCTCACACTTTAAAATAAGCCACTATTTAAAGACACTATGGTAAATAATAATAATAATAATGATAAACATTCCAAGCCAGCTAAAATTCCATTCTAATCTATTTCAATTGTCTAGTCTTAAAGTAAGATACATTTTTATTTTTGTTTTTTTTTTATTTTTTTATTTTTTTTGTTTTATTTTCATTTTCGAATCAAATTTTCATATAAACTAATGATTGTTCTCTTTTTTTGTTTTCTTTTAAACAACAACAACAATGAAAAAAAAATTACACCAAGGAATGGTTTATTCATGATAAACCATCAACTTATTGGGTATCTGGATTCTTTTTTACACAAGCATTTCTAACTGGAGTTTTACAAAATTATGCACGTCGAACAAAAATCCCCATTGATCTATTGGCTTTTGATTTTGAAGTAATTGATAGTTTGTCTTTATTGATATCGTTGAATATGATTTTTATCTTTGAAGATGGTGTTCTTCCATAAACTTTATTTGAATATAGTTGATATTGTATCATATTTCAATCGTTTGATGACGAGATTTTAAAGTGAATTGATTATTGTATACTTTCTTTAAAATGGCAGAAGATAAATGCATTCGTTACAATGTAATGGTATATATGTATATATACCTGATTAGGAGGGACTTTATATTTTAATGGTTTTCAACAATTCAGAACTTTTCATTTCGTTACTAAGACAATTAGTATATTATATAATACGTTGATGATCTTTCTAGTCGTCTGGACGTAAATCGAATCATTTAATAATTTCGTTTTTAGCAAGATATACATTATTTCTCAACATTATCAGTAGTGTCTAATAGAGTTCAAAAGAAATCTCTTATACGTTAAAAATCTTTTGTTTAACTTTTGTAAAGGCTACATGAATACTTTGTTATCTTCATATCTTGACAAATTACTGTATTTAAGTGTTGTTCAATATTTAACGACGTTCAAATTGAGTAGAGTAAGAGTATGGTATAGGGATTATGTTAAAATAACCATTATGAATTCTCAGTCAGTTTTCAGCCAATCAGAAAGCAGATTTCGTAAACGAATAATCTAATGAAAAGTAGATATTACAAAATGTAGACAGAATTTACATAATTAATGGATCTTTTAAAGTCTTCTACTATTAACACTATGCCTGTAAAACAAAAAAATAAGACATACAAACTGGCCCTTATGCACATTGATTAACTATCTTATGAAACTCTTAGGAACACCATTTAGATTTTAATTATTCTTCACATTGCTCTTGGTTAGGAACGAATTGATATCAAGTTTGGTTAAAATACTTTATGGTCACATGATTGAATGAATTCTCACTGATTGAAATCATGAGTCAATTGAAGCTAGACCATCATGGAAAACATGGAAGCACTAGACGGCCGTCTCGTCCTAGTATAGGACTCCTAAGCAGTACGCATCCACGATCCCGCATCCCGTGAGATTCAAACCTAGGACCTATCAGTCTCGCGCTAAGCACCGTACAGTGCTTCCAGGTTTTCCATGCTGGTCTAGCTTCAATTGACGCATGATTTCAATCAGTGAAATTTCTAAAATCCCCACAAAACCCCTTCTGAATGAATTCTACCTAGAAATCTAAGTGACTCAATATGATTAATTAATTCATAAAATATAATGCTAATGAGTTAATATTTGTTATAGGGTTGAGAGTGTACAGTTAAGATTTAAGATATTATCTATATGCCTACTATGTACAATATACATTAAAGAATCGAATATTTTATATATTTAACACCATAAGTTGTTCTCTGCATGATTTTTATCATTTTAAACGCTTTGAATATTATGGGAAGATATTTCTAGCATCCGTTATTCGATATACATGAATTTTGGGCAAATATCCGTAAAGCTTTATTTTCGATTCTGATTCACTCGTCTTCATACTATACGATGAATAGGTTAATGTTTACTTTTACATATACTAAATATAATATATTATCCCGGTGGGAACCAGTCATCAAAAATTGGCTTATTACGTCCGAACAAATGTTTACATATATATTTCCTATAAATAGAAATATTATGATTATTTCTCACTTTATTCTGAATAAGCTTATATGCATATTCAAATGGGCCAGTGCTATATATTTATGTTAAAATCAACAGTTTAGTATCCATGATTACCTTCATTTGTAATAAAAAGTAGCTCTGTATGACAAACACGTAAATCTCTTAATCTGAACTCTAAAAAAATTGATGCTTTCTTGATATGATTTAATCAGGTTCGTCCAACACATAAAGAAACTAAAGATCCTCCTAATGGGGCATACATTCACGGCTTGTTTTTGGATGGATGTCGGTGGGACTATGACAGGTAATTCCTTTGCAATTATAATCAATTGCTATGATAGATGAAATACTTTTATTTTGTGACAATCAATAAAACTTAAAGGTTTCATGTTTTCCTCACTGTATTACAAAACAAACTACTGACCAGTATACCGGTTCATTAATTGGTGGACGGATATATATTTTTTTTAAAAACACTAGTGTTACCGTGAATTTCCGGTTATTAGTATGCTCTCAATCTTAAGTTTATGAATCTACTTTCGATAATTTCTTGCTTATTTGTATGAGATTTAATAATTTTGTAGATTGAAACTAAGTACAGTGAAACACAAATAACAGGGTTTGGGGTGAGACTATAATTTATGGACGACCTTTCAGAGACGCCAGATTGACCTTGAGAGTGTCTACCTGGTAACTAGGATCAAATGAGGGTTATAAACCAGTGTGAAGAATTGGAATTATGATTTACAGTTGATGATTAAGATTAGAAATTAGATTTTTGGATTTTCATCACAAACTGACATCAACTATAATGCCAAAACTGTATTAATTCGAATGAATGAGTGAATTTCGTGTCAAAATCCGAGACCAGTTATCATATACGTGATTGGTTTGTCCATAAATTATAGTCTCACCGGGTATGGTTTTTTTCAACTCTTGGGACAATTAAATTAAAGATGGTATCTCCGCCTAATGAAACATAATTGCAATTCTTTTAGGTATATAAGCACTGAATTAATTATTATTTTATTTATATATCATGAGTAGGAATTGTTCAAAGAAAAGGTCTTAAATGCCATACATTTTCTGTTAACTAAGGTGTGGATATGATTTTTTTGAAATGATTGGATAGCAAAATGACATTGTTTAGGCAAATATTGGTTTAGTGACATCATGGTTTGGGACTAGTTTAGGGATTTGTTTTTGGAGAGTAAGTCAGTCCTTAATGCACCGTCCTTTCTTGTTCTTATTTTGCATCATGAAAATTGCATTGGTTCCAAAGTTTCAAAGGTTAAAAGGTTAAATCGAGGAGTTGGAGTGATTCCCGATTATTAAGTATAAGCAGTAAGACTGAGAATCCAACAGAGTCAATGCATACATATTAATGACGATACTCCAGCCACAACATTTTCACCTTAAAATGTTTCATATCATGTAATTAATTTATCATTCTTTAATCTGGGCTGAATTTTCTCATCTGTTTTATATATATTTTGAAGCATGGAACTTGGTGAACAATATCCAAAAATATTAAATGAACCGATGCCAATTATCTGGTTGAAACCTATAATTCGCGAGGAACTTGAGGCATTATCAACCAAACTAATTAGATACAGTTGTCCAGTTTATAAAACAAGTGAACGTCGTGGTACCCTTTCTACAACTGGACATTCAACCAATTTTGTTTTACCGATATTACTCCCAACAAGTGTTAATCCAAATCATTGGATAAAACGAGGAGCTGCTCTTTTATGTCAATTAGATGACTAAACGAATGTTTGTTTGTTTGATTTTCATACCAAAAACTAAGTTTTTTTAAACATGTCAGAAACTTAAAAGTACCGATGTATAACTAGTAATGAGTATTTTAATGCAAACTTATATTTACTTAAAAATAAATCTTCAATGAAATATTTACTTTCTTATTCATTACATCAATAAAGGTTGGATTAAACTGTATTAACAGATTATAGACATTAGTTATTGTTAGTGTCTGGACAATGGATCAGAAGTATTTTGAGTAGACAACTATGAATAAACACTTGTATCTTCTGGATGATGGCTTTCGTAGTTCTCCAAGATTCTGCCCCATACAGTAGAACTTCCTTCATATTTGTATTGAAAATTCTGACTTTGGTGTGGGTTAAGAGACAGTTGTTTTGAGTTCCAGATGTTCGACAGTTCTAGATATGCTGCTCTTGCTTTTCTGATCCGCACCTTCACATCCGCGTCAGATCCACCATTTTGATCAATGATGCTGCCCAGATATGTAAAGGCTTTTACATCTTCCAAATGTTCTCCGTGAAGTGTGATTGGATTGTTGCATGTTGTGTTGTATCGGAAAATTTTGCTTTTCGCTTTGTGCATGTTTGGACCTACTGTTGCTGAGTCTGCTGCTACTTTGATCACGATTAAACTGACTAAAATTCATCAAAATTTGATAAATTAAAATCTGGTGCTTTTGGATATTATTAAATTTCATGGGATATTAGGAAATTCCTATCTATTAGATAATGATTTAAAATATTCCAAAAACAACCTTCGATCTGATAAAGTAATTTTTTATTTCAATGGGGATGTTTTTATAATCTTTGCACATATTAATGTGAACTGATTTTCAACTATTTCCATGGTTGCATTAAGAAAATTGATATGAAAAATTGAGTAGTATGAAATGAAATGAGTTTTTGCATTTTTTCAATGGATGTCAGTCAGTCAGCAACACCGTAAAACTTCGTATGTACGTACATCATCTCGATTTGCCATACCACATTAGTACAGAGATACGATTGTTGATTCAAATCCCAATAGTGGTATAGGTGGTGAAACTATAAGCAGTAATCGGAAACATTAGGGTTTGAAGATGTTATTCAATGGATGTCAGTGGTTGTCAAATATATTTATTTGAATAGTTCCTTTTGTTAATTATACTGACGATAAAAATATAAATATAGAGTAGAGATAAACTTACCTAACTACTAAACTAGTATGGTATAAATATCTGACAGATCGTAAAGGAAATACCCATAATTGCTCGAGCAATCAACATAATGAAGACAGAAACCTAGTATTAATATTAGGACTGATTGTCCATAGTATACACAAATTGTTTATGCAGTAGATATAGTTTCAGTCAGTGAATTGAACACATCATGTTAAAAACACTAGGAAGATACCACTGAACTTACTGAAAGACGAAACATTATTCATTACAAAACCAGATGAAAGAAATAAGAACTATCTGAATCCACAATGAAAGATTAATGAATGAATGAAAATATTCTTATTCAATTTAATTTCTTTACTTTAAATTAAAAAGTCCTTCAATTCAGAAACGTTTTATCGCCTGGATAACTTCGATATTAATACAGTTTACCTGTTTTACCTCTCGTAAACTGTATTATTCACATGTATACAATTGTAAGTTGACTTCTAGATTATATCATATCATTAGTGAAAATATGTTACAGTATTTTTCCCTCTATACTTAGCGTGTATAGGGTTTTCTCAAGTGCCTATACCATTTAATGATAATAATACACTCATCATTTTTCAAGTATCGAATAACGGATGCATTCATAGGTATAAAAGATTTTCAAGTTTTTTATACAATTTGATTGTTTTTTAGTAACTAAGTAACTTTCTTATCGTAAATCTACCACATATTAACACAATGTCATTGACTTAGTTCGATCATTCAATCTAGTTTATAGAAAGATTTGTATTGAAAGCTTCAATCCTCAAACATGAATTATATTATAACTATCAAAATGGTATTACCATTTAACAATTAGATTCAATTAATGCACTTGAATTAACAAATAATGAATGTAAAGTGGTCAGTATTTCATTTCAATGTATTTTATCTGAACGATCGTAAGCATAAGTATACACGTACTTTTGTTGTTGTTGAGATTTTCCAGAAGCAATTTTGTATGTAACGGTTATATCCTGATGAGAATAATGAATAGTAACTGTTGGAATCTATTTCTGGACTAATACTATACGTATATTCTTATTGTATGACTGTTAAGTACCTAAGCTATTCATATTTACGTTCCACGATAAATCACTGTTCTCTAATTGGCGGTATCTTTACGTTATATATTATTAGGACACAAACTACACAAGTTATAACAGTAACATTTTAATCTCACTTCTGGTAAATAAAAATTACCAGGTTGTTCACACTTTGCAAAGATCTTTTACTTGTAGATTTCAAAGCTATTTTTATCTTGTTGTTCAACATTTTATTGTGAGGTTGGTAAGACTATAATTTATGAACAACCTTGAGCGTCTCCTAAGTGACCGGGAGAGTGTCTACCTATTTAGTAGGACTAAATGGGGGTTATTAGGCAGCTTGAAGAATAAGGATTATGATTCACAGTTGATGGTTAGGATAAGGAATTAGATTTACGGCTTTTCATCACGAACTGACATCAGCTAAAATGTTAAAACGCTATTTGGCCAAATGGGTCAGTGAATTTCGCGCCAAAATCCAAGACCTGTTATCGTAAATCTGATTGGTTCGTCCATAAATTATAGTCTCGCTGTAAAGTCCATATGGTATTTTGTGTTTGATAATCTTAGATCAATACCCTGATTGAATGTATAACATTTATATCTAACTGATAATGTTACTATACATCATTCCTTTTCGTTACTAACTATAATAAACCCTAAAATATTCAGTTTTCCTTTGAGATCTAGAACTTTCAACACCATACATATACAAACTCATATGAAATCTATCTTTGGACCTTTAAATCAGAATCAAATAGATACTATATGTCACAAATTAATTAATATCAGAAGGGGTTTTGTGGATATTATAGTAATTTTAATAGTTGAGATCATGAGTCAATTGAAGCTAGACCAATATGGAGAACCTGGGAGCACTAGACGACCGCTTCGTCCCATTGAGGGACTACTCAGCAGCGCGCATTCACGACACAGCCTCGCAGGATTCGAACCCAGGACCTACTGGTCTCGTGCGCGAGAACTTAACCGCTAGACCACTCAGCGGCCATCCAACGGCGTTAATGTCTAACTTCAATTAATCCACGAAATTGAGCGACACATCCACCATCGTCATCAGTGAGTTACTATCTCACAACTGACCCGGTCCAGTGCTTCCAGGTTTTCCATGGTGGTCTAGCTTTAATTGACTCATGGTCTAAGCTATTGGAATTAAATAAGTCAAATATGTGAATGAATTTTTGAATATGTATATTTTGTACATTCATTGATCTGGACAGATAATCGGAGGGAAAAAGCGAAATGACATACAGTGGAGAAAGCATGTAAGCCAACTCGATTTAACCATACGTTAATCAATATTTATAACCGGACAAAAATAACTTACAGACATGTGATGAATAGGATCAGGAATGTACACATATATACACTCATATAAAAATAGTCATTATTGATAAATAAATAATTAACAAGGTCAAAATGTGACTAAAGAAGAAGCTTAACATAGTAACCGACATTACAATACAAAGTGATATATCAATCATTCATGAAATTTACCCTATTATTCATAAATATGAGATTTCATAATTAGGATATCTTATGAAAAACAATTTTAATTACCATGCACCATTTGTTACTTGGTATCATTAAATCAAATATAACCAATTAGTCAAATATTGATAAAACCAAATATGCAACGAATATTTCACATAAGCATTAAGTCTAGAAGAAGCATAACAGATAATTGAATTTAATGAAATAATGAATGTTTTTCAGTAAAACAAACATCTGGCATAAAAATTTGAAACATTCTGTAAACATAGAATATCATTTGATTGAAATATATTATATATTCACAATTGAGGTTTGTATTGTTAATATATACTAGACAAAACAACACAATAATAATAATAATAATAATAATAATAATAATAATAACAAAATTCAATTCAAATCCCATAAGATTGATCTTAACTTGGCTTTTGTGGTGTTGTATAAAAGTGTAAAGGGCGTATTCTAAAGTTTATTGATGCCTTAGCCATACAAAAATGCAAACCCCCTTTGTGTATTCAGAAAAAAACAGTTTGTTCTCACCTTAAACCTACCCTGGTAACATTGACTTATTATCTAGAGTGATTAGGTTTCAAATTGCGTTCATGTTATGATGTGAAAATGATGCTGCGGATTAAGGGGTAGTGAATTATTGATCGGACCAAAGACGCACAAACACGTAGAACAGCCTAGGGTTCTGATTGGTCCCGCTTCCCTATCTAACCCAGCCAGTTGAGTCCAGAACACAAGTTTCAGCCTCGGATATATGAATCATTATATTTCAAACATACTTTTGTTTATATACCAGTCAAGCAGACCACAACGTACCACAAAATAGAAAATAACATTGTACAATAATGGCCAACAGGAAAATGACACGTTAAATAAATATTGACCAATAAGATGATACTATTTCATGTCCAAGGATAGCATTAGCTTAACAGGATAATTTTTGGGATATTTTCCTGAATATCCCAACAGTTCACATTATTATTATTATTATTATTATTATCATTATTACTATTACTCTTATTATTATCCTTATCTCCTCTTACCTCATTTCCAGTCAAGTTGACTTTTTAATTTTATATATAAATGTTCTTAACAAGTATATGTGTGATCAGATTGTTCGAAATGTATTGCGCTAATATATCATATAGTTCTGACAATCTTCGTCTTCCTATTACATTATCGAAATCAATTGTTGTTGTTTAGGTCTGCAATTGATCAGTTTCTTGTTG